TGGAATTTCCATCTAGAATAAATCCAGATTAGTTTGTCGTAGATGCTAAAAATCATCATTTATCTGACCAAAGCAGACCTCTATTGTCCCAAAACAACTCCAGTTTCAACAATATAATATCGGTGTATCTAAACCTAGTTTCTGAACGCGTAATGTCATCACCATGTTTGCATTTAAACTAATATATGTTTATACATTATATGGACCTTCTAAAAGAACCTCCCTTCCAAACTATCCCAATAAACCCGGAGCCTCTTTCCCGGGCAGCACTTACCGAGCACAGCCATGACCGTCTTGATGAGCTTGATTGGCGTCCGTTTGCGGTTGAGGGAACTGGAGGTGTGTGACATCAGCATCGTCGTCTTCCTCTTGACGTAAGTGTAGATCCTCATGTAGATTGCCACCATGGCAACAAAAATGATCAGGTTGGAGACGGACCAGAAAACCAGGTAGCTCCTGCTGAAGATGGGAGCCATCTCAGAGCAACTCTCCAGGCTGCAGATGCAGTTCCAGCCCATGCTGGGCACCGCCCCCATAAAGATGGAGATGCTCCACACCAGGACGATCAACAGGGTCACCCTCCTCTTGGTCAGGTTGCTGTGGACCTTCCAGTTCATGACGGAAATGTAGCGCTCCAGAGCGATGACGAGGAGGTTGGCCAGAGACGCCGAGAGACTGACGTCCAGAAGTCCTTGGCGGAAGAAGTACTCGCTAATAGTCAATGTTGGCGACACGTCGCCCGTGTTGAACATGAGGTACACGTAGGCGATGCCTGCCAGGAAGTCTGAGGCAGCCAGGTTGGCAAGAAGGTAGTAGAAGGGGTAATGGAACCTCTTATTGGTTATGACGGCAGCGATTACCATGGAGTTAGCGACCAGGATGAAGATGCAGAAGGTGGAGCCGACCACTTGGACGGTGATGAGCATGGTGCTGTTCAACCCTTGTCTCGTACCGACTCTGTCGTAGAAGAACTCCATGGTCTTATCATAGTAACAGTTATTCTGAGCCATTTTGTGGACCAGCCTGTAAAAGGAAAAGATGAAGTAGGATAATGCATAAATGACAAATCAGAAAATGTCTGCAGTTTATGATTACTGAATAATAATGTTTAGAGTGCAACTGGAGTCTCTAACATTAGACAATCCAAAAAATATATATTGACTCTACTCAGCTGATGAACCTTTCACTTAAAATACTTTGCAAGGATCATATTTGAGGAATTCAGGCAACAGGCCAGATCAGGTCATCAGACCAATGTGCCGTCAACAGATTTAACTCTGAAACAGAAAGTTACTAGATAGTTACTAGTGTAATTAGTAAAGTTCAATGAGATAATCACTGCCATCGGGCTGTGCGCTGCGTTAATAGAGTCAGGCGTCCACATCTTGCTGAAAAACGCATTTCAACCTGTCAGTCCAGCCAGGATCAAACGCGAGGCTTTCTGAGGTTTTGTTACGCAACTTTACAGCTCTGGGTCCGGCCAGGTCCATTAAACCCGGTTAGAGGAGAACAAATCCAACCAGAACCATAAAAAATATTTAAGAAAACAAGAAAAAAGGTTGCTGTTGTTCTTTTGTTTGTTTGTTTTAAACTACAGCGCATTTAAATAAGGAGAAACACAATCAAACAGGTGAGTTTTTACCTGTGCAGTGAGCGCGTTGCGTCAGGAGAGTCAGAGTTGCGAAACCTGGCGCGCCGTGTGATGAAGCATTGCAGCAGAGCTGCTGTTCCTGGCAGCTGCACAGAGAGGGAAGTTCACAGCGATGAGCCTCGGGACGACAGTGAAGACCGAGCGGCCGGATCTTCACCTTAAAGCCGCCTTCAGAGCCGCTGACGCGGAGGGCGTGGCCCTCCCACGCGCTCAGCTGAATTCCCCGATCCAACGACGTGCTGACTGACTCACTCACAAAACCGATACTGAAATGTTGTTGTTTTTTATTATCATTAAATATCTTTAAATTAATTTCCAAATACGTTTCCTTAAAGATGCCTCGTTGACTATGATTTTTGAATGTTTTTTTTTAAGTGGTGATATTATGTGGAAGAAGTATTAAAGTATTCTATATATTTTTCCTGGATTGTTTTCTTGCCTTTTAGTTTTGTAATATGTTCGTTTTATTTTATTTTTTTGTTGTTATTTTCTTTTGGTCTGGTTGCCAGCTGCTGGTAAAAAAAAATGTATTAGGACTGCGTAATAAACACTCTGTGCCAGTTTTGGTGTCTTATTCAGTGGACCATCAAGCATCGCTCAATGCAAATTGAATATGGAACCCATCATCTACCAATGCACCCCACTTTGAAATACTTTATTTGCACATTGTGTATTACTGCCTGGACGGTTGTTTTATTAAATAAAAGGCATTTGAAATAAAAACGTTTTATAAGGTGAAAGTTGTGAATACGTCAGGCCAAAAGGTGGATATTTCTTCATTCACACATGGAAAGCGGATGAGTTCACTTTGAGATTTATTTGCTGCTAAGCAGCTCCCTTGCAGGAACAGAAATGAATGCAACAGCAACAAATGCTTGTTTCATTCATTTGAATCAAGATATCCTGCTTCAAATCCTTTTTAAATTTGTTGGAGTGAAGTTAAAAGTTGCCTGAAGCCCTTAACTTTTATAAACCAAAGGTTCAGAGAGAAATGTGAGTATTTGAAAGCTATAGTCATCATGTTTCACATCAAGAGCCTCTGAGAGTTACTGGTGTCTATCTATCTCCAGCTAGCATTCCAGGCGAGAGGCAGGGTCACCTTGGACAGATCATCAACTCTATCGCGGGGCAACACAGAGACAAACAGGACAAACAACCATGCACACACACCTAGGGAGAATTTAGAAAGACCAATTAACTTGACAGTCATGTTTTTGGACCGAGAGGAGGAAGCTGGAGTACCTGAAGAGAACCCACGCATGCACAGAGAGAACTTGCAAACGCCATGCAGAAAGACCTCGGCCCAGGAATCAAACCCTGGACCTTCTTGCTGCAACGCAATGGTGCTACCAACTGCACCACTGTGCACAGCTCTTTCCTTTCTCCACATTTTAATTTACAGCCTTTTCCAAAATGCATTCAATTAATATCTTCCCTCAAAGTTCAACACACAAATATCCCGTTATGAACTTGTGGAAAACTGTTTTTAAGAGCTTTGCTAATTTAGTAAAAAGGGAAAATCAAGACATCACATGCAATTATACACAGTCTTTTTAAATTGATCAAAGTCTCTGCTCACTATACTAAAACAGAATAACAAATCCAGAAGGGCGAATGAGTTTTTAAAATGATTGTATTTTCCTTGTGTGTTTAAACAATCCCCACACTTACAAAAGTGATTACTGTTGATCAAAACACAATCTTCATTGGTGAAAATCTTAAAAGTTCTGCTCCTTTTCTGAATATGCCAGAGTTTTGCATGTTTATGGAAAACACTGATGTGAGCAGCATGTTCTAACAAAACAATGATTTGAGCTGAACCTCAACACTGTCGATATTTAAAGTCATTGTGCTGCTGGAAAGTGACACTCCATCAGCAGTGGAGTGCTCACCACTCTGCTCTGCTCACCATTATTACAAAAAAAAAGTGTTTTTTTTTTCCAAAGTATTTTTTCCATGTGTGTCTTGTTCATGCTTTGTAGGAAAACCCCCATCCCCCTCCACCCTTTACCCTGTAGGAGCAATTTTTGCAAAGAAATAAAATTCCCCATTAATGCCAACACTATTAGGTATTTTCACAACTTTCACTCAACAGTTATATTGTGACATTCATTTTTCTACTTGGATCTTTGTGCGCTGAGTTGTAATTTTATGCAATGACTTCCTTAAATGCCTGTGGCTGTTTATACAATTTACTTATGCAAGAAAGACAAAAGTATAGGTTTTGTAGCAAAATTTAATTCAACATTTGAATAATTTACATCCTACACGACATAGGATCCCTCTATGCAATGCCCTGAAAACAGTCCTTTGACCTTGAAGTGCCTGTGCAGACCTAAAAAAAAGGCCCAGTAAACCTTTATGCCAAACCCTGAAATACAGTGGAATCCGCTTCTATATTAAATAATTCATCTCAGTTCCAGGTCAGAGTTCAGATTTGTGTTTCCTGTGACACTTTATTGGATATTTTACTCATGAACTCGACATGTGCCTGGATTTTTATTCTTAAATGTATTTTAAAGGCAGTGAAGTTTGAACTCCGAGAATGCCTCAGGGAAGTTACGTCCCGATTCCAGAAACTTCAAAAGGCAGTTCTTCTGAAAGTGGGCCTGCCTTCAGCTAATTAGTATGACATCATCAGATGGTGGAGCCCTGCAGAGAAGAAAAAAAAAAGAAAAAAAATAAGACATGAAGAACCGTTTGCATATCAAAGAATAAAATTAATAGTGATTAACAGCGGAGCTGAAGGCATTTTTTTTCATTCCAAGGGAATGAGCCACCAAAGGTAGATCTCCAGATTATGGGTTTTTTTTAAAACAAAAAAAACACATATTTTAGTTGAGCTTCTATTATAACTGCAGGTTTGCTCATGCAAGTCTTCAATGAGTGTGAGACAAACAATCGTCCACAGATTTACCACATAGCACACTTCATTGTTTGGTGACGTTTAACTTCAGCCTGAGCCTGACGGCTTACAAGATTTGAAAAATGTGATGAAACTGCACCAAAAATCATTTATCAAGTCTAATCAGGTACATGTGTGCAAATATATGCACAGGTTGCAATGCAGAGGGTGAACAGGTGAACATGACCGGTTCTGTTTAAAGCTTTGAAAGTGAGCGTCAACATTTATTACCGCTGGTTCTTTGTTTGTTCTTCTAAAAAAAACCCAAGATTTTGCCAGGTTTAATTTGTTAATCTCCTAATTTCAGCTTTGTCTATTTTCCTTCAACCATAAAACTGATGGAAGCAACACAAATGAATCAGATTTTTAATATAATAGAGCCTTTTGTCATTTCCTAACAAAGTTAGTGATTCTTGAAACACAGATTCACACAGCCAGACTTCGTAGTATTCCATGATTGTTCATTTTTTTTAATGCAGCTGGAACAAAACATGCTTTAACATTTATTTTACAATTTTTCAGCTATTAAAAAGGGGAATTTTGTCCAAGGCCAGTCACACTCATGCCACAGACCTACTCGGCCTCTCACTTCCACAAACATCCACGTGTCAAGTATGGTTTTGTTCTCCAGGGAGGAACAAGTCTTCTGAAAAACAAAACTCAAAGCTTTTGACCAAGTGGCATCTGAGCAAAAGACCACACCACATCCTCTTTTCTATCAAACACATTTTAGCTTCTTTTTTTTTGGCACCAGATGTTTATATTGAACAGTAAATTGAAATGAAATGAGGTGGAGAAACAGGGAGAAGATCTGCAACAAACCGTCCGAGACCAGGAATTGATTGTACCCTGACGGGCAACAGAGGAGAAATGGCCTTCATCACAAAACCTACCTTTTTTTTTTCTTTTGGTGTTTTTGCCTTGATATTTTTGTTGTTTTGACAAAAATAGATGGCTCAACATCCCTGTATTTACCACAATTCTTGATTGTTAAGTCAGAAAACTAAAATACTTTCAGCTATACCAGGATAGGCTCCAAGATGCTGTGAAAAAATGATCAAGCAGAACTAAAGCTGTGTGCTTGTTGGGTTCTGTTTAATGTAAAAATCACTTTTTAATTTCGAAAGTTTCCCTCCATCACGTATTCTCTTAAAATAAAAATGCAAACTTCTGAGAGCAATTTAAAAAAAACAACAAAAAAAGGTAGATTCTTGCATTTCAACTTCCATCTGAAACCAGAATAAATGATAAATGCTGACGATAAGTGAGTCCCATCATCAGGTCAAAAGAAAAGCAAAAAGCTAACTAAATTCAGATCATATTTCATCCTGTCGCCATGTTTCCATATCTCATCTATTCCCCACACATCAAGACAAACGTACTCATGAGATCACCTTAGTCAATTGCAAGATGCCAACTGTCTCCAATTATACAGGCTGTGCAATTTGTCTTGGGTACTAATGATACAACTTACTCCATAATTGAGTTGCACTACTCAGTCTAACATAATTGCTCCGTTACTGAAACTACACTTTAACCACTTAAGATCCAGAGCAGGAAACCCTAAATGGCCCAGAAATGCATCACAGCTCTAATAGGTCCAGGAAAATCAAATGAATTACAGGTTTGAGCACCAGAGTCTGGTGAGAGAAACCTTTTTGTGGTGATGCAGCTCTTTCCACAAGTATTGGCACACCGGGTAAAAAAATACAGAAAAAAAACTTCAAATAAATGAGCTCTATGTTGCAATGGTGTAATCTTCTATGGTGGCATTTATTGAGTGAAGGCAGAGGAAGCTGCACATTAGGAACAAATTTCCTTTTTTTTAAAAAAATGTGTCCAATATATTTGGCATCTAGAACAACTGATGTGTTGATCAATCATGTTTTGATCGGCGCCAAGTTCTAGAGAGTTTCAAATGGAAATCCCATCCCTAGGTATGCACAGGTCACAATTTTCCTAACTCAGCACTTGGTATTAAATAAAAAGGTAAAAACCACAACCTGTAAAAAACAATGCTGTATGAGGACCCAGTTTCATTGTGCCACCACATAGTAGGGAGGATAAGGAAATTGTTTGGAGAACTGCAACAACAAGTGGCATCTTGGGGGGTTACCAAGTAAACATAGCAACAAAGGGTAAGATTTTGCACACATATTTTCCAGGGGTGGCAATAATAACATTTTAGGGTGTGTTAAACATGTTTTCAAACAGATCAGTGTTTAAGCTAAGCCATATTGGATTTAAAGTTATGCCAGTTCATGACCTAGTGAAGGAGGAAAATATCCCAGGAAAGTGAGACCTTGTTAACACCAAACCTGTTGCAGCTAAAATTATGTTTTTACCATAACCTTACATTTTACATGTCTCAATCAACTTTGAGTCCAACTCAGGCAAAAACGGTATACATTTGGGTAAAATGTGAACGTTTATCTATTTAAAAAATAAATAAAAAAATAAATCAATAATCCAATTAGTTTCCAGCATTTTCAGGACTTTAAACATTCAGCCATTTTAAAATCTTTAACATCACAATAAAATTCTAACTTTTTTTTTATTTAAAGGACTTGCTTTTAAAAGTGTCTGCACTATTATTCAGTGTAGAATAGTGGTGTAGGAACTACACTGTTATAGTGTAGTTTCTGATGTCATTGAAACATTTTTCAATGCATCCAGGGCTCTTTAAAGGTTTAACTGTCTGCTAGTTTACACATTAAGTCATTAATTGTTTATTTTACTTCTAAATCATGTTTTATGAATATAAACTTCAAATTCAAAAGGAGAATAGAATAATAATGAACCTTATTATCTCTGCAAAAGTGGCACTGTGGCTTGTTGAAGAGTCCATAAAGAGTGAAAGAGACAGATGTGACTCAAATGCGATGAAGTGACCAAGACAATAAAACATCAGTCTTTACTTCATGTTAGGAAATTGACATGTCATCTGATTACAAAAGAGATCAAAAAGAAGCATTTCTACTAGATGAAACTGGACACACAAGGGAGATTCTATTGCATTATTTTCCACATTAAAGCTAATGAGCAACTTTAAACCATTGATCGTTCAGAAGTCTTCCCACCATACCACACTATGCTAAGAAAATGCTTCTGACTCCAGTCCAGTTCCAGTGAGAGAGCAGAAATATTTTTTTTTTTTAAAGGTAATGAACCGAGGAGAGGAGGTGGGGGACAGAGCGATGTTCTTCCTACTTTTCAGGATGCAGCTTCTCTGTGATCAGTCCATCACAGGGTGTGTCTGCATAGTTCCCACCACTAATTTCATTCCTCTCAGACCAAGTAAGGCCACAAGCCAATCCACAATGTGGAGGAAACATCGCTGTTGGCGAATGATAGGGATCGACTCATTGGAAAGGAATGCACGTTAAAAAGAAAAAAAAAAAAGAAATGTTACATGTTTAGTTGGCAGCAACAAGATGAAACATATGCAAAGTGAGGTGCTAATTAAATCTACTAGCAATGTCACTTAATGGCACAGTGGAGTTGGGACTGACAAAAAGAAAACCTGGCAACAAGTTAATAAAATATGAACAAAACAAAAAGGTTTTGATTCATGACAAACCATAAACTGCAGCTTTCTGTATAACAAACTTCTCACTCCTGGGGTGCTGTGGTGGCACAGGCAAGAGGCCTTAGTCCTCGACGCAGCAGTCACAGGTTCAAATCCCTTAACTGCATGTTTACCTGTCATTACCCACTTTCCTGTCTGATCACTCTAAAATAAAAGCCACTAGACCAATGGCGTCAAGCTCAGTTTTTGGGCCATTTCAAAACTCTGAATGTTCTTAAAGAGCTGGTTGATAAAACCTATTAAACTGTTAAAAAATTAAGAAATAGCTGTTTATTTATTTTGTGTTTTAATTAAGCAATGAACATCTTTTCACAATAATCAGTCCCTTCAGGAATTATTTTTTTTCCAATCAAAATCACAGATTTTGTGGTGCTAATTTAGAAATATGTGTAAGATACTGTTCCGATATTTGCGCTAATGTGTGAGGTTAAATGTGTCTTTTTATTATTCATTGCATCAATCACGAACTATAACTTTACATCAAGCAAGTCTGAGGCAGAATTCACTTAAATCAAATGTTTTTGATGAGTTTTGAGTAAAATTTGCAGTAAAATCAGAAAATTTATCTTGTGTGAAAAACTGGAGACTCATAGATGTAATTTGGAGTCTAGAGGGCCACATAAAAAAAGCTGCAGCGGGTTTGACACATGCACCAGACCCAACAAAACATCAATATATATAAAAAAAAGAAACTGGTCACTGTCAAAGAGTTGAGGTTAATATTATTCATGCACCTGGCAGATTTAGATTTACTTCCCTTTCAAAGATAATGTTAAAGAAAAACCTGTAACACTTTATTTTCAGGAGTGAGCATCATGAACATGTCATGAACACAAAGGAGTCTTGTCATGAAGTGTCAGTTTGTAAATAATAGGCCTGTCGCGATAAGCAATAAATCAGTGAATCGCACAATAAATGAAAACTGTTGACCTCGTTTTAATTTATCGTTCCTGCCAGTATTTTTCTCTTTCTATTGATGACGCTGGAGAAGAAGAATCAACTCTGGTGCTCTGCACTGACCCCTGCCGAGGAGGAGTGGACTGTTGCACCAGGCAGTTTGTGTTTTAGTCATTTATTCATTCATTTGTAACTCAAAATATTCAGAGTCATGTTTATTTATTTATTTTTGTAGCATGTAGACCTGTGGAATCGAATTAAGACTGTTGTCTGGCAATAATTTTATATACAACACAAATTATTAAGGAGAATAAGTAGCATTTCTTTAAAGAAGTTGAAATACGTTAACTAAAAAAATAGTATTGTTCTAATATAGTAATAGTACATTTTTGGTGTCATTTCTACTTGTCAGCACAAGGGGATATGTTACCAGTCACTGGTGAAGTTTGGCCCTAAATGAGTTATATAATAATTATATGTATTTTTCTACTAAAAACATTTTCAGTATCCCACAGGAAGTTGTCAGACGATGAGGCACGAAACAGAAGAGTCCAGGTCCAAGACAGAAAGCACAACCTGGCAGGATGTTTCAGTGTTGGAGTCCTTCAACGCAGCTATGAAACCACTGGCTGACTTTACAGGTGTCCTTTCAGGAGAAACATACGTCACTGTGTCCTCTGTTAAGCCTGTGCTGGAACTGATTAAAGGCGACCTTCACTCTCCAAGCCCTGATGACAGAACACTGACTGCCAGTATTAAACAAAACATATCCACAATGCTGACTGAAAAATATAGCTCACCTGCCATCCAAGACTTCCTGACAAAGGCCACCATCTTGGATCCAAGGCACCTTGGCAGCATGGAGGCGGCAGGGTCATTGGATGACATCAAACATCAGCTGGTGCAAGAGCTACTGGACTTAAAAGGGCCAGAAGTGAAGAAGGTGTAAGTGGTGATGGAGGAAACAAAGATGAACCTACAGCTGCCCCACCCACCAAGAAGAAGAGGCTAAGTGACCTTTCAAACACAAGAGCTCAAGGTCAGACACAAGCTACACATCCAAAAAGAGAGCTGATGCAGAACTGACCAAGTTCCTTCAAGAAGACGTTAGAGTGATGCCTCTTGTGATCCCTTGATGTGGTGGTGTGACAATCAATGAAGATATCCTTTGAGGGCAAACTTGGCTCAAAAATACATGTGTATTTGTGCAACAACCACCAGTTCAGAGAGAATGTTTAGCACAGCTGGAAACATTGCTACTCCTGAGAGATCCTGCCGGAAGCCACACAACTCAACATGTTGGTATTTCTTGCTCGGAATCTGTCTGACTAATGTAGCTACTGATCTGCTTAAAGATTGTTCAGGCATCTGGTCTTAAGAAGAATGTGCTACTTTGCACTTTTTATTTATAAAACCGCAGTTTTGCCCATCTTTATTTAAATCTAATGATATATAGGCTTCATAATATGTATTCCTTTGGTTGAACATAGTGTTTATTTCCACTGTTGTTTTATCTTGGGTTTAGTTTTTATTCAAGTGCATTTTTTCTTAGCGAAGACTGAGAGTCCATTTTATTTTTATTTCTGGTTGTGTTACTTTGTTAACCAGTTCCAGTATTAAGCGCTCTTTTGAAAATAAAGTGCATTTATCTTTGGCAGGATGTGCTTGCATTATTATGTCATTATCATTACATCAGTTTAAAATAATCTCCAAACAATTTTGTTGTTTATTGCAATACTTTTTGAGAGAATTAATCGCTCAGCAAAATTTATCATGACAGGCCTAGTAAATAATGACACTTTTAATGCACAGTTCCATTAAAACTTTCATGAAATGTCCATTAAAAGTGCATTACAAGCATCATTATTTACAGAGTGACACTTCAAGACAACAATTATAAACATTTATGAAGATTCCTTTATGTTCACAACAGGCGTAATATTATGCTTATGACAGGGTCATGACAGTGTTATGCACACCCCCTCGAAATAAAGTTTATATTTGTTGGTGAGCTCCAAGCCTCTTTGCCATCATCAAGTCTAGTCCTGGGCAGCGACTATTCTGCAACTTCAGGACAACAGGCACCGGATCTGGGCTGTTAAATCATCCACTCAACTCATTTATCCCTCACTTTGCCAAGATCTGCTTTTTAAAACCCTAAAGCTAAAAACCGCTGGAGCTCATTAATACTGTGCAACAGAGGATACAAGATGTTTGACTCTGCATTTCTGTTGTCATCTTGCAAAGTTTTAATAAAGGTTTTCTCATCCAGACTCTTTTTAGAGTAACTTTTCCACCAACTTAAATATTAGACTTCTGTTTGTCTGCAATTTGACAGCAGAAAGCTTGAACAAATCAATATTTAGAACAAGGTTTCTTTTTTATAAATTAGGAATTTTGGTCAACATTCTTCATGCAATGTCCCAGTTGGACATTGAAGTTGAAGTTTTTAAGTTCGACACCCTAAAGTAAGAAGATCCAATATGCTTGCTGCAAACACAAAACATAATAATGGCTACTGTAATAAAATGTTTATTTGAACCTCATTAAATTAATTGCACATGTAGTATAGTAGTAAGGTGTTGCTATTGGGGTTGAATTGAGAAAATAAAGCTGGAGCCCAGAAAGCGATCTGTAGCATGCATAAGGCAGATGGGAGGATGCAGTAAAAGGAGATGATGAAAAAGGGATTTGTATCTTATTTTATTCCAACTGCTAAGCATTAATAGTTTCCTTGATTTTCAAAGAGTGATGAGCCTCAACTCAAAATGTTGACAGTAAAGCTCAACTTGGATACAACTGTGGCCGTGTTGGTAAATGAAACTGACACCAGATTAAATTAGGAGAGGAAATCCTGAGAGGACTGGGCAGAGTGAAGGCTGGGTGTTTGATATAACTGAAAAATTATGTCATTTTTCAGTTATAATTTCTGAAAACTCACAGATTTGAACCAGGTTGTGACTTTAGCGTATTAGCATTGCTGTCATACCGTTGGCAGCAGTAGCAGTGATGTATAGAGTTACTGAGCTCAACTTCTGTCTGGCCGATTTCTTCTTGAACAGGAAAATCTCTATGTCCCAGAAGAAATTTCTGCAAATCAGTGAGTGGGAACCCGTTCCTCTGGTAGTTCTGCAGACAAAGGAAACACACAAGGTTAGAGAAGCAGCACATTTCAGATGAGATTTGAGAGAATATTCTTTGTTAATTTTCCCTTTTGTTTAAATATTTGATTACACACAACCGGTCATGTCACAATGATCAAAAAATCAATTAATCACATGATAAATTAAAACAACACTCAATTATTTCCACTGGGTTGATTATCGTTTGTCTCTTTTTTTCTCTCTTTCTACCAAAAACTGGATGATAAAAGTCTTCAGTTTGGTGCTTTGGTCTCAGTAAGCCTTTCAATTTTGACCAGACCAACTTGCACCATCATCAACATCACCGTCTTCATATCAGGTGCTCATTCCATGTGAAGCATTGAAATCCGCTGTGTGGATATGATTTGTCCCACAGCGTCCCATGAGCAGTGGAAAGGCTTTTCTTCAGCAGAAAGCTGATATGAAAGTTCAGCTTTCATATCCCTGCTAAATTGGCCACATGTCCAATTTATTTATTGGACATGCAGCCAAGAACTAAATGATCCTGAAAAAAGCTGTTAAAAAGTTTAAGTTTTTTTTTTTTCTGGACACCACATTAAATCCAAATCAAATGTTAAATTTGAAGAAACATATCCAAAGGTGGAAAAGTTCAGGGGAACTACTGTATACCCAAGTGTTTCAAGAGAGCTACTGTTTTCCCCTCAGACAAAGAGCACATGTCTACCTTAATGGTCTCATAAGAGTCTGTGATGAGGGCGATGAAGAGGGACAGCACCATGTAGATGAACAGCGAGATGAAGGAGTAGAGGTAAGCCCGACTGAAGAGCCACACCAGGATATTTTTGTCCTTCAGCTGGGCAAAGGTGGTGAACATGTCGTCGCCGTTCAGCAGAGAGAACAGACACTCTGCAACTCGACTCAGGCCCTCAAACTACGGGAAAAGCAGGTGAGAGATAAGTGATGAATTGGTCCAGGTCTAATGTGAAAATAACTTTTGCATTTGATAACATACACAGAAAGAAATGGGTAAATTCCATACATGAAGAACCTGGAATAGAAACTGAAATTAAAAAAAGGAAGATCTCCAAACAAATTAAATCCAAAAAGGAAGTAGAAAACAGGCAAATGACAGCTGGCAAGAGGCTGATAGAAGGATAAAGGAAACAAGGTAAGAAATTGACTTAATCCAAGAAGCTCTGGTCAATCAGAGACCTCTAGAAACGACATCCCTCTGTATCTCCATGGATTCAAAGCACAATGCTTTGAGAATCCACGTATGGAAAGTGGAGTTTTATTACATCCTCTGTATATTTACTGGAGTGATAAACAGAGATTCCTGGAAGGGCTGAAAGGAACTTCCCTGGTCAACTTTCTGTAAATATTTCAAGCATTGATAATTAACTGCTGCGGTGAGCAAATTGAATGCGTTACAATGCCACCAGGGTGCTGCTCATAAGCAGTGAAGTTAAGTTGATATAAAATATTGAAAGGATACAAAAGTGACAGTGAGAAACCAGAGAGTGCTACAAGCTTTGATTACTTGATGTAGTTTTGAATAGAACAGTTTTAGGTTTGTGATGTTTTACTGCTTGAAGTTAAGAGTTAAGCAAATTGGTAAATATTAAATCACTATATAGTTATGCCATACAATAGAAAGAAACCAATTATCTTTATTTTGGTCAAAAGAAAAAAAAATAACTAAAAGAAAGGGATGTAACAAATAAGGCATTCAGATGTCACCCAGCTTTTGGGGTCAGAATTACTTTCCAGTTTAATGAAATAATAGAATAACAAAATACTACACATTAAATTACTGTGTGCAAACTAGGCTACTTTGTATCATCTTGAAATTTTTTTTTTAAATGTATGTTCCAGCCAAACGTTTCCCATAAAGAAAAAGATTTATGGCTGAGCAGCTGAAGATCATCAACAACTTTTATTTGCTGTAGACGAGCTCAAAAAAAAAGCAGCTGATAGAACGCCGTCTGAACAAACTTACCTCTGCAGGCCGCGACTTGTGTTGACGCCCACGTGCGGTCTAAACTTCCGTAAATAATTTATGTCGACAGAGAAGGATAGTTAAAACACACGGCTTTTCGATACCACTTGCTGGCACGGGATTTCCCTGTCGCCACAACCAGCTGTACTCCTTGAGAGAGGTCGCTGAATAATTAAATGGTGGCAAAAGTCTTAAGTTGTTAAAGTGCTGGAACATTCAGAGTCTGCTTCATAAAGTGTCCTTCACCAGGTTTCTGCATATATTGGTTGGTTTCTTTAACTACAGCCTGCAGAGAACAGATTTTAATGTGGTCCCCAGTCTTAAAATGGATATCCATGATGTGGTGGTTTATAAGTTTATGGATGAATTGAGAGTCACTGAATATTTGTTTCATGGCAGCCAAAATGAATTTATACAAAACAAAAACACCCATGTATTGAATGATCACACATTTCCAAGTATAAAATGTTATATTTTCCTCCAGAATATGCATAAGTACAGCTTCATGACTTCAGACTAACTGGGGGACAACACTGACACCTAGTGGATGAGCTGTATCATTACAACAACTTAAATGTAAGAGTATTTGAAATGTAACATTTTTTCCAGTTTTTCAACATTAATCCTGCACCGCCAACACCAAGCTAGCAGTGAGGTATCTTTTATAGGCTTCAAACACCATAAGCAAGGCATGATTAAAGTTAAAGTCAAGTTATCAAAGTTAGTTAATTCTGCAGCACTTTTGCAGAACCTAAAATATCAGACATGTCCAAAAAAATGCTATCTTGGAAGATTTTAATCCAGGTGTGTTGCGGCTTAAAGATTCTTAGATTTAAAAAAATTCTACAACATAAATTAAATCAGATTATCAGTCTAATGCATGTTTAAATTTTTCTATAGTCAGATTTTTGCATTTATAATTAAACGTATGCTTGGCTTGAGCACTATGAGCAGCCAGCACCTTTAGCAATGATCTTTTGTGGGCATCAATGGTAGTTTGTTGGACAACAAGCAAGTCAGAGTGATGATGGTGATGATGATGATGATGACTGTAAAAGCATCACATTCATGTCTGCAGACCAAATTAGGCCAACGATACAACAAGATTTATCCAAATGTCTACTGGAGCTGGTCAGCGTGTGGGTAACGTTACGCTTTCCTTTCCACCAAAGCATAGACCTAATTTCAGGTTGTTTATTAATTTACAAAAGAAAGTTTATGAGTAACTTTCAGCCACAATAGTCAAAATGAACTAAACCAGATATCCTGCATGAGGCATCAGCTGCTGTGTCGATTCATCAAAAATGCCAGATCATTTGTGGCAGAGAATGCATCTGCAGGTTACAAAAATAATAATAATAATATTTCCAACAACACTTATAACCACAGGCTAATCTGTTGACTAAATGCAAAATGTATTTATTTTTTGTACCGTTTTGGCTAATTGCTCTAAATGTGTTCTTCTTTTAGCAAATAACCATTTCTGAGTCTCTACAATCCAGTCAACAATTAATCAATTATTAAATTAGTTGATAAATATTTAGATGATAAATCATTAATTATTTCACCACTAATCTTACATTAAACTTTTTGGCTCCCTATTTTCTGACATGCCCTCATTCTGTTTTTTCCCTTTTCCTTAAAAAAAGGCTGGGTGTACATCCATTGTGTCAGTCCCAAAAACTTCATCAAATCTCCAGAGAACATAAAAACTGTAAAACTTCCTTTTTTATTATTTCTGAGTTGGAGTGTTTATCTCTAGCCTCTTTGCAAAACTTGAAAAGGTTTCATTTTTGTTTCTTGCTGTGATTCATTGATGTGGTAAATATAAAATATCAGATTTTGGAAATAGAAATAAGGTACATTTGGACAATACACAAATAAGGATGTGTTTAAAGATGTGGTCTCAAAGTTAGGTTTCTGTGAGAAGGCTGCCATTGTATTTCTACACCAAACCTGACCTCCTCAATTATCATTGCTGATGTTGGTGGCTAAAGGGAAATACTGAGTGGAAATGCAGTTTCAGACATTTGGACTTCCTGTGGTTAACCACACACATGGCCTCAGCAGTTTTGCACCAATAAACAGCATTAGTCACCTGAAAAAAAAGACTACAGTTAATCTGTGGTGAGTTATTCCACACCTCTCTCAATGTGACTCAGTGCAGGTTCTTGGATAATCAAACCTCTACGTCTGCAACTTTTACCTTTTCGTGATACGGTCCGAGTACGATCCACCCGCAGAACGTGTAACCAAGGTAGATCATGCCAGCGCAGCAGCAGAAACGGAGAACTTTAGGAAAGGCTGCTTTCATGGTTAAAATCAAGACCTGGAGGCATAAATGTTAAGTTGTTTTATGCTTCAAGGCATGAAGCAAAAATATTAAAACTCCCAAAGATGAGAGTTTAATGTCCATGTTTCTTGGCACTCAATTCTGATTGCTACACTGTTGGACACAACACATAGAAATTTTTTTTTAAAAACATGTAGCTAAAGAATTATAATAAGTGGCCTTTATTACAAGATATCTTGTAATAAAGGGAACAACAGGTCTACTTATTAAATCACTCAACATACTCAAAAACATCTATGATAGTCAGTTTTGTTTGTTTGTTTGTTTGTTTGTTTGTTTTTCTAATGAGATGCCAAGAAATAAAAATGTTCTGAACTCACATTATATTTCTGGAAGTATCCAAGGTACCTGATCACCCCGACCCAGACCAATAACGTCGAGGTTCCCAGGAAGATGCTGCACACATCATAACTTGTCAGACTCTACAGGAGAAAAAGAAAATAGAGAGAAAATAAGAAAGAATATACGAGCAGTATGAACAAATCATGATTTCTTGTTTAATACAAGTAATAATACGTTAATGACTGTGTGTGACTTCAGAGTGAAATCACAATACAACATGCCCAAAATATAGAGAACTCACGATATCTTCACTCATATGACTATTTTTATTTGTAAAAGCTGACATGAAAGATATTATACAAAACATTTGTAATTAATAAATTACGTTTTGGTTCAGCCTGGTTATCGACATGATGCAAAGTTCAAAGTTCACTCACAATGTCATAAATGACTACAGGTCAGTTTATTACGCTAATAACTAAATGTCAAATCAAAAGTGATACCAGCCAGTTATCTAGGCACTTATCTGCAAAGATAGATAATATAACAATAGAAAAAAAGTGCCACAATACATCTCCACTTTCTGAACTGCACAAAATTAACATATAAAGAACAAAAATGAGATGAGAATGAACTAAAAACAACCTGGATTACTTCAAATGTCCAGCAGGTGGCAAAAGATTTGCAGTACAGCAGGAAACTATTGTGCACAGAATATAACTTCATACTGCAATCATTTATCACATTTTCAACTGTAGATTTTATTTTCATGCAACATTTTTCTTCTCAATACGTTGATAAATGTGTTCTTACACAACTCAAAACATTAACATTTTAGGTTTTTATTTTTGTTAAATCTGTACCTGATGTCAACAAGACTATGAGGTCAGCTTCCTACCCATTTATTATTTATTTAACATTTAATTCTGCATTTTTTTTCCATAATCAATAATACTAGTATTTTTATTGGATAAAATATAACAAAAAAGTGCAAAAAGCAATATATCAATTACTGCAATTTGAGTTTTGGCGCTTTTGAGTTGAAGGGCGTTCCCAGGCCCTGTATTTTTAGTGTGCCGCCGTCTCTTAATGTATTACACATTTCTGTGAGGTTTGGGGTAAAATCAAACTTTCTTACATTTGATTTGATATGAAATGTGATAATAATGGCTGGAAAACATCTGGAATAGTGCAAGATCAGTTGCAGATGTTCAAACAGTAAGATACTGTCTTTTATCACCAGAAATATTTTTGGTTGTAATAAAGGGAAAAGCTTTGGATCTTCATTTCAGCCTGCTGACTAACCATACAACAGGTTGGGCAATAACACGTTACAAATTATTTTTGTATAGATGAAGAAAATTCCAGTCACTTTAGTTTTCCTCCTTTAATCTAATTTTTTTTAAATGTTTTTCTACAGGATTAATGTGTTTTAATCATTTCTAAAACTCAAGTAGACATCAATTTTGGTAACTGGGCAGACTTTTCTAGAATATAGTTAAGCAATCAAAGTGCAATGTTTTCAAATGAATAAATAAATTTACATCATGACATTTTATACTCGAAAGGAGCATTTTTTTTTTGCCAAACATCTTAAAGTGAACAGTACATAAAAGGTATAAAAGAAGAATCAATGATGCATTAAATGCACACTGGCCACCAGCTTTATAATCAGTTGTGCCAAACTAATCAACAAAGAATTAAGTCATATTAAAGACTTGATGTGATTTAAGCTACATTATTATACCTTTGCCTGAATTTCCATCTTCAGTATGGAGCCAACTATTGCCAGCAGGTCGCTGACAATGACCAACACGTACCAGCCATTCAGGAACTCGCTCTGGTCGTCCTCACACACTTTACGATTAAAGTTTTCTTGAAAGAATCGAGAGAATCTCTTGTGAAAAAAAGAACAAAGTCAGTAACTTAAATTTAATTCCTAAAAACAAAAAAAAGACCATAGAAAACATAGGTCAGCAAGTCCAGATGGTAAAAGACAAACATATTGATAAGATCAATTTTATCAGTTTGTGTCAGTTTTGTTTCAAAAGGTTCTTTTGCTTAGATGCAGATTTCTCCCAATAATCATTAACCAAGTGTAGAACGAAATCGATCAGTGGAGAGCAGCAACAAAAACATAACAAAATACATTTTCTTTATTATAGCTGACCTGGAGTAACCTGATGGCCAGTATGATTGAGCGCGTGCATAACACGGCTGATGTTATGCAAACCAGAATGACGAAGCCATCAAACACCAGCAGATAGTGTGTGTTCTTCTGAGCTGAAAACGACAATAAAAAGGAATGGCCTGAGTGTGTGCTTATCTCCTTCACAACCCCCTCACACTCACTGCTGATATGAGTCTGCAAGAAAACGTCTCTTAACTGTGAAAGGCTTCCAGAAGGGAAAGTCTGATAGAAATTTCACTTAGAAAAGGTGCTAAACACAGAACAAACTTTTAACTGGGTAGAAGAAAAAAAACATGGTTTTGGTTAAGAAACAATTCTTAATCTATTGAACTTCACCTGTTCCAGATATCTTCCAATCTTTGCATGCATTGCTTTCGGCATTTATGTCCAGGAATAACTTGACCTTCCCACTATGACATTGGTTGTCAAATATGATCTGAAAGGGAAAAGACAAGAAAAGTGATCTTTCAGTACATTTCAACTTTGGCTCAAATAATTGATTTCCCCCCTATAAACAGCAAAGAAAATCTATACAGTGACATGGAACGAATAGCAGTCAGGTAGCTCCCGGTGTCGAACCGTCTGCAGGTTGATTCCCTTCAGCTGGAAACTTATCTTTATGTCAACAAGCCTTAAAAAAAAAAGGAAAAAGGTTTGAAAGGTTATTTCTATTGGGGATTCTGACATGAAAAACACAGCACATACACATGACACTACCTGTAGAAGTCCAAACTGAAGAAAGATGCATTCTGGGTTCTCCACATGTTTGCAGTTCTTGGATCATGTGACATACAATCTGAAATAGAAAGAAATATATTTGAAAAAAAGTACAACATCATGATAAAAATTACTGCTGTGCATTTGTAGAAAACAAGTGCAATTCAGACACACAAAAAACTTTAATTTCTTTTAAAAAACTCCCATTTGGATGAACATTTCAAACTGGCCTACCTGTTTCGAGGTGAGCGTCGATATCATAGGCCTCCTCCGAAGGCTCCAGGCTGCCTTTTCTGTAGTACTTTTTACAGATGGTGAGAGGCAGCAGCTTCCCATCTTCCTCTGCATAGCTGATGGGGCCAACAGAGAGCTGGCCCAACTGGCTGTACTGTAAAGATCACAGGCTTAAGGTGAAACAGTCTCAGAGTAAAGCGGATCGAGGGTCTCCTTACAATGACCGCCCAGCAGACCAAACATCTGCTATGGGGCCATCTTCCATTTCTTTTTTTGTTTCCTGTCATCATCTTCACAGTTAACATAACCAAGCATTGTTAACAATGCAGTTTGTTACCTGTAGAAATTTACATGCATGGTTCCTGACAGAATATTGTTAATATCCTGCCAAATAATGCACTCAATCAGTCCTTTGTGATTGCAGTGTTTTACACATTCATATTAGGGAGACTATTGTGATTCCAGCACATAAAATGTCTTCCACTCTCATCTCTTGTCAGCAGGCTACTTTTAAAATAACTGGGCTTCCAGCTCATCCTTCATAAAATGTCTGTGATCTTCTGTAACTATTGTTTATCAAAAACACTTTTTGTAAGGAGCGAAAGTATTTGCTACAAACTTTCCATTGTTGAACAAGTAGCAAGTAAAAGGCCACAAAAACCACCTTGCAAAAGTTGTTGCATTTTGTTGAGGTTTGCAGCTTGTCCTGCCCCTTCAATATGACAGAATAACACAAAGTTGTGTGTAATGGTGAAATAAACAGAAAATGTCATGGTTTTACATTTCTATAAGAAAAGAATCGTTTAAAATGTTAGCACTTTGCAAAAAGTAAAAAACCCACTTCTATTGCAGGTTATTTCACATTTATACAGATTTCTTTAGATAGCTAGCTAAAGTTTAGATAGCTAGCTAAAGTTAATTTTAGCTAGCTATCTTTAGCTTGGACAAAGAACATCTAGTCATAAATTTGACTCATGGAAATGAACAATGCGTTCTTTGACTAGAACATTGTATAATTCCACCATCTTGTAACAAGAGCAGCTTCTAGTTTGTTTAGTCTCCTACATGGATTGTAGAAAACTCCATTTCTTATGCTTTTTGTTCAACAATGGGTTTTTTCTAGACCTCATGACTAAAGTTATTTTGTTGACAAACATTTGCATTTGAGTCTCATCCTAAATTGCTATGGGTCTGTTGGCTTCGCCTCCAATTAAAGTCATTTTGGCCCAGCGTGTCAGTTGAGCTCGGCCACAATGCCTTGCTAGGTTTGTGGTTCTGTCATACTCTGCCCCATTTAGAGTGACGGACAGTAACAGAGGGAAATGTTCAAAGCCTGGGACACATTATAAAAACATTACTTTTTCCATGACCTGTCAGGTTAGCTTCTTGGTATTATATTAACATTAAGTCACAAGTCAACTCCTTTAAATATTAGTTTATATCTGAAGATTAGTTGTGTTACTTTGTGTCAGTTTATCAAAAATCCTAACTAAGTTTATCACATGACAAATAAATGTGCGAAAAGGCCAGAGTTGGTGCAGGTTATAAAAAAAGCACAATTTTCCAGTCAGCTCCAGTTTTTATGACATCACAAAGTGTATACAGAGGATTACTATGCAGTTTAACTATTATACAGCTTCTGCACTGCAGTAGTGTCTCATATGTGCAGGATTCTTCTCAGATTCCAGAAAAAATAATGCTCATACCGCAGGGACAATTTATATAGACTAGTAACATTTTCTACAAACTGGACAGTTAAAGCAAGTCTTCCACATTAAGTTTCCTAAAATTCTCTTTTTCCTTATCCTAAAAAGAGCACAAAAATCGAACAGCAGCTTTACTTTCTGTACTTGCCTGATCAAGGACGTAAAAGAGGCTGTCAAACACAGCCCGCTGTGTATAAACAGCTACACTATAGTCATCCTCATCCACCCCAGTGTATCCTTTCAGGAAAAGGTTTTTCAGGGCCATGGTGGTTTCCTCCTTATATGCAACCACCAGCTGGTTGTTGAGGCCAAACAGGATGAGCTAGAAAGAAAGAAATGGAAAGTGGACAATTAATCAAAGCCAAACAAACAGCATTATTCAGGAGGGCAATTTTATTTTATTTTTTCCCCCAAAGGTGTAGTTTTTTTATGGCATCAATTCAATAGGGTGTGAGAAATACTCCTCTGAAAGCTTGAGCCATTTTGAGGAAACAGACTGAATCAGAGAGTTGTAGCAGCTGGATTTTGAGCTGAATATTGATTATGTCTGTGGCAGTGACTAGAGGAGGTAGGGGAGCGCTCCAGTGACCCGTGGAGTGGGTTGGTTCCCATCAAATCTGGTGACTCAGGAGGCCATTTGAGGACAGGACAGCTACGGTCATATCCAAGAAACCAATTTGAGCACCATTCTGCAGGAAGCAGCCACTAGAAGATGGCTATACAGTGGCCATTAAGGGACAGACCACTGCCTAGACTGTGGCATTTAAACAATGTTAAAAATGTGGACAAATGGGGTCAATTATGTATCCCTCACCATAAAACCGTCACCAGCAGACTAAACCATTGATACAAGCAGGATGAATACACACTTTCAGATAATTTTTTTTACCTGTTTCTGACATAACATTTTATTTTTGTACATTTTTTCTCAGTCTCAAACCTAAGTTTCACACTCCTCTAATCCAAATAGGTGTGGAATAGATCCAGCATCATCATCCTATATTGAGACTGTTCTTTATACATACTTGTGTAGTGATCATGACGATCTTCAGAATCTGGACTCCCATCTTCCAGGGTATGTGTCGACGGGTTCGGTACTTCTCACAGGGGCTCATGAAGTAGTATCTCAGGTCATCTCTCAGGTTCTCCTCCTTGACGAGATCCTGAGTCATGTCAGAGCTGCAATGAAAACAGAAACATCAGGCAGGAGCCAATGAACCTTACTTGTGTGTAAACAAAGTGGTGCTTGCAGATGACAAACACTGAAGCAAGTTGATAGTTTCTACCTTTTAGCCTATTTCCTTTGCAGAAAGCAACATAAAGCTCTCCGGAAGAAAATGCAGAAGTGAAAAATATCAGCTCAAGAGAGCTGGTATTTCCTAAGTGGCAGATGTTTTGAGAAGGGGGTAAAAAAGAACAGCTTCACACAGAGCGCACAGTGCCTGCTTTCAGGGGTTTTCCAAGGTTCAAGTCCAAAGTAAACCAGTCAGTGTGGGGGCCAGCTTTCAATGTTTTCTCAGTAGTTTGTCAACCGCAGGCACAGCACCAATCTCTCCGCACTGCACGTTTCTGCGAAGGGTTTTTTTTCTAGCGAGTTTTAGAGGTGAGAATGAAACTCCAGCTAAGTTTCTGTTGTAGACCGAGCACGCGCTTAGCGACAGACACAAAGTCACTTAAAATGCTTTTACCTGCTGAATGGGATTATTTCTCATAATTAAAATAAAGATAATAATAACCTTACCTAACAGAGTTGCTCCTGTCAAGATACCGAACCAGTAACTCCATGACTGCTGAGCCCCGTGAGCAGCACCATTTACTCGAGTGGGGTTGTGACAGCGACAACAGGCGGAAAAACACTGAGCTTTCTGCGTGAGTCCAGTCAGCCAATCAACAGGCGAGTTCAGGAGGCGCTCAGGTGCGCAATTTGTGAGTCAACGCAACACTAGACAAATAAACAGGAAGGCGCTAAAATATTCTGATTAGAAATTAGAATATTTTTAAAATTATTATTTTTTTATTAAATGACTATAATCATTTAAATGATCATAATAACTGGATTTTTTCTACACTTATTGATATTTGATCATATGCCACAAAATTTTTATTATTTTGAACACACACAGCAATAGCTGCGATTTTTAATAGACTTTTTTTCCCCCACAGCGCTGACAAATTTATCATTTCTCCATACTGTATACATCCAAAAAGTATGTTGTAATAAATCAGTAAATAAATCTACTTTGCAATATTTTGAACTAATCAATTTTTTAAACTATGTAAAATTCAACAAGGCAGTAGAAAATGTTTTACATCATAAAAACACAAAAATGCAAAGTCATTGAAAACAGCTGATCAGAACCAGAAGATCTGAATGGTTTCCAAAGTTTCTCCAAAATTTGAAGATCTTGCAAAGGTTTTGAGATTAGCATTTCACCTTCTGAATACTACAATTTTTTTCATATTTTCCATTGAAAAATTATGTGATAATGACTGACCACAGGGTTCTTTTTTCACGTTGTTGCTTGTTTTAATGGGAGTTAGCAGCACCCCAGTGACCCTGCAAGGATCAATGGGTATAGATAATGGATGGATATACTTTAATAGCTAATAATTGAATGGAGCAGTTGTGTATCTTTATTTTATTTATTTAGCTGCTGAGGGTTAGAGTTGGGTATTTTTGAGGTAGAAAGTGTTGCTTCTATCATTTTAATGAGCCTCTTCTCACTAAATGGACCTATCACCTCTGATTTGCATTTGTGACATCATATGTTAATCGAGCATGTGTTCTGGTTAATTTTGTTAGCAGAAGTGCTGCTCTACTGGAAGCACTCAGTTTATTCAGTAACAGACTGTTTGACAAGAAGAAATAGAGAATTAAATAAAATAAACTTGGATGGGTGGCGACTTTCTGTGTTGTTTGTATGTTGTCTTAGGTGAGACTGAGACAGGCGGTCTTAGTAAAGTCCAGATTTTTCAGGAGATGCTACCGCTCTCCACCATGTCCTAGCAAAGATACAGGCTTCAGATAGAAGACGCACAGCCCAGGCTGAACAGTGTCAATGAGGATGAATGAAAGCAACATTAGTTATTACATATTAACTAATGTAATAAGTTAATATGGCTGCCTTGTGTGCTTCAAGGAAGGGCTGTGAACACTTCCGACAATAACTACAACCACAACCCCATTCTGTTCAGCTACTGTACTGTTAATGTGACTTCATTTATGAATGTATTAATCAATTTATTGCCATTATGACTGTGACAGCTGTCCCTGCTGTCACAGAATAAAAGTAATTGTTTTCTGTTTTTCTTTAATATTACTTTATATATTTGTTTGAATAGTTTAGATTTTTATTTTTAAATTTGTCTTCATTAATTTGACCAATTTAGTTAACTATGTGTAGTGCACCCATTTAGTTAACTTTATTTGTCAGTTCTTTATAATTTTTGTTAAATGCACTAAATTTCTTTGTTTGAGTTTACCAGTTTCCCCTGGAGCTACAGATGATTTCCAGCTGATGCCCACTGGTGGTCAACTTCCCAGTGGGCCATTCCATCTGCTCGCCAGGGGAGGGGGAAATTTGGTTTTTAGTTTAGTTTCATTATTTCTTTAATGTTTGTTGTTCTTTTGAAAGTTAGTTCAGTTCTAATTATTTAATTTAAAGATTTAGTAATGTTTCTTTGTATTTGTTTGTGTTTTTGTGTGTTTAATTATCCCTTTTGTGTTTAGTAGTGGTTTGATCACCCACTATTTAAGTTCTCTTCATGTCTTGTTAGTTAGGTCAGTTTTTTGTTTGAGTTCTTTGTGTTGCTACCTGAGTTGTAGTTTGTTATGTTGACCGCAGTTTTGGGGCCTATTTATCATTTTGAAATTATTTGTGGATTTTTTGTAATAAATTAAAATTTCTTTTGAACTTTACTCAATACTCTCTGGCTGGTTTGTGGGAAAACCTCACAATGACATAATAAAAAATACCAGTTACCTACCAAACTGTAGATTTACTTGTGTTTGATATAGTTTCTACAATTTTAAGAAGAGCACAGTAAAGAATTCATTTATGAATGAAGTAATACATTTATTGTCATTAAAACATCATCCAAAATACTGTTTCAAAAAATGTTTGAGCTATACTAAAATGTGTCATTAATGTTGTCATAATAGGCAAATCTTTGTGTTTTCCAGGGTGTACAGATTCCAGAAATTGAATGGAGTCAAACGTCACTGTACCAAACTTGCAAATGACTGACGAACAAATGGCAGCCTAAAGAAATGCAGTAAACCCAAAAGCCACATCACCGTCTTCTGAATGTGACATTTATATTGCTGCAGTTCAGTTTTGTGAGCAGTTTTTTACTATGTGAAAGTTGTCTTCAAAATAAAAGACTTCCGCTCTTCAAAATGAATCATGCTTTGAAATTCATTATTTTTCACGTTACCTTTTTGTAATTATGTTCAATCAAGTTAAATTCTGTGTATAATAATTGTATAAATCGTGCTTAACATCTGACTGTATATAGGTAACTAATCATAATCAGTTTTATGAAATGTAAAGCAAAATGCTGATTATGTTACCATAAATGTGAATTTTAGTGCTTTTATGGAAGTTTTTTAAAGAACTAGTGTTTAAAATTTAGAATTTGATTGTTTTTTTCTTACCTCAAAAGGAAGCTAATAGTTACATTTGTCCATTGTTGTAGGACTTTAAATTTCTTGCATCATAAGAATCAGAAAGTTAGTTTGTCTTAAGTAATTTATTTTGCAATATTTCAAGCACAGATGAACTCATGTAAGTACATTCAATAAAATTTTGCATAAAAACAATATCAGTTTCATATTTAAAACTGCCTGTACAAACAGTACGGACTCGGACAAATGAAGAATCTATTCTGAACATTGTTACTCTAATTCCTCTAGTTTTGTCAAAATCAGATATATGATTTTAACAAAACTAGAGGAATGGAGAGTACAAATAATATACATGATTATATGAATATGCAGAGCCATGTCTTTTTCTGCAGAGCTGTCTCAAGTCCATCTTCAACAGCAAGGGGTTCTCCGTTGCATGTTTTTGGAGGAGATGGTCTGCACAGCGAGGAATGGCCTTTGGATTTCTCACTATAAACATATTTCATCGCATATGTCTAAGAGAAAAAAAAATAAGTTAATGTAGTTACAGGAACAACTTTAAATTTCATATGGTAATTGAAGATTTAGTGCATCAAAAACAAATACCTTTAAAAGTAAGGTCAGGGTAAAAAAATATATATATAACAAAAAAATTTTAAACGTATTTAATACAAAGTAAGTGTTAAAACATGCCAAATTCCTTTGGAAGACAATTTCTGTGTAGCTAAAGTCAATGCTTGTGACTATCACTATTTGTGTCCTAAATGGACATACATAAGCCTGGGGTGTCAAAGTCCAGTCCTGGAGGGCCGCTGCCCTGCAACTTTTAGATGTGCCTCTGCTGCACCACACCTGAATATAATAATTAGGTTATTAGCAAGGCTCTGGAGAAATGATCTACACAAGGAAGAGGTACTTAAACCATTTCATTCCAGTGTTTTGTAGTGGCCCTCGAGGACTGAACTTTGACACCTGTGACATTAGCACCAGCTATCAACCACTCTCACCATCACTGCCTGAAGAATAGAATGTAAATGGCCCAGGCATTGTTTCAGTCACTTCTTAGTTTTCATCTAAGACCAAGATACAAACAACACAGAAAGTCGCCACCCATCAGTTCTCTTTAAAGATCCAATTTTATTTCTTTTTTAAATAAAACGGGGGAAGTTGGTGTGGGGCAGCGGAGAGGGGCTAGATGCTAGGGTTGGCTTTGATGAATGACAATCTGCTCTGACCTGACATTGTCATTTTGGAGTTGGTTAGGTGCTTGTGCATTCACATTTCTACCCTGGTTTCTGTCCAGCCAGGGTAGAAAACGTCTGACTTGCTGATGGAAAACTGTTGGCAGTCCTCCCATAAGAGCTCCCTATCAGTCCAAAACATAAAGATATAAAACACAGTCAGACTTAAATACTAGTGAACAGACATACTGTGGATAAATTTATTAGCGTGTGAGTGTCATGATGACATATCTTTACCAAACTGCAGATGGTGACACAGAGGATGACTGGAATCCAGACGATAAATGGTAGATCATTGAGGAGTGCTTGAAAAAAACCACCTAACCCTTCTCCTAAGGCCCTCAGTGGCTCGATGATGAAGGTGGTCAATGTGTACACAAATGGCTAAGAAAGGAAAAAGAAGAATGTTATGATACAGTTTTCTGTTCGTGAGGTATATATTTGTTTTCTGACTATGAATCAGGACCATCTGTGTGATTATAGTAAGTGGATGAGGAAAAATTTTAACTGCTATGAGGAACATGTGAGTTTTCATGACTATATTTCAGTATATATATTTATTTCATATTGAGGAATCATGCAATATCTTTTGAGACTTCATGCAACCTTCTGTTTATGAAAAGGAAAAAAGACTAACAAATAATTATTACCCTTTAGAATAAAAATCTAAACAAAATTTATGTTATGTATGTTGATTTTTTTAAGAACAGTGAAAATTACAGCACAGTATTGGAAAACATAAAAGGGTGCCAAAACATTCACCATACAGTCACAGCAACACTGATTACTGACAAAGAACTTCATGCAATGAGAGAAGCAATTTTGTTTTTCTTATGCAGCACCTCCTTGTGGTCACTGTTGGTTACAATATCATCTTTAAAATGTGAAGTCCTAAATTCAATAGTAAATAACAACAACTGTTGTATTTTAGAGGCTGTATGAATAATTAGTGATAAACATTTTATGCATTTTTATGGATGCCTAAATGATAAATACATTGAAGGCACATTCTAACCTTACCATGGCCCAAAAAGAGTTTGGATAAATGATGTCTTTGCAGGCAAAGACATCGAATGTTGCTTTGAACATTAAGAGAAAACTATTTCAGACCAAGCAACTCCCAAATTCAATGCGGGATTATTCTTGCAATATACAGCAGCAGAGTGGTTTACCTTGATTGGCGGTACCTCAAGAAATGGGTCAATTAGGAAGATCTTAAGGTATTCCTCACAAGGATCACTTTGAAAAGTCAGAGTGGTTCTGAACCATTCTGAAAATAAAAAAATACAATCACAAATGATCATATGGATCACAGTTACAGATAAAAGCTTTAAATATTCCTTGTGTCATTTTCTACGCTTTCTGTATTAATACAAATGCCTCAAAAGGGGAAAAAACTTATAGAAAGCTGAAAGAGTATAAATTATGAAATATAAACATAGGTAACAAATACTTAGACATCAGTCATTCTACATACTCTTCTTAGTATCTATAGCTTAAAAAAATTAGCAATTCAATATCTTAAAATTTCTGAACGTGAACATTTTGTTTGGGAGCTTCTACACTATTTATAGCAACTGATATAGTTATTTGACACTTGAAATTATTCTGACCTACCACTGATTGCAAGCAAGTTCAGTATTGATTCTTTTTACAGTAAAGAAATGCACTGTATGCATTTAGCCACCTCAGCATGTCAAAATATATAAGTCAAACTACTGTAAAGTTAGAACAGGCTAATTCCAATAAAGGATCCAGGCTGAGATTCAAACCCACAACCTTTTTGCAATGAGGTGATTGTTCTTTAAGTTTATTTGTGGTGTTTCCAAAATGCTCCATTCGGATGTTGCTAAAATTCATCTTGAAATGCCATCTGAACATTTAGGTTATGTTTCCTTCACAAATTTTGATTTAATTTTATCTTCAATTGTAAGATGATGTTAAAGTTCAGTAGGTTTATACGTTTCATGTATAAACATAAAATTTCTAGAGATTCAGCAACTCAGATTGCTGAAACAGCTGAGCTTTCTTCTATACAATTTTGTCATATTATTTTTTAAATATTATCTTTTCCCCAGCTGGGTCTGTTGTTGAAAGTTTGCTTTTTGTTGCAGAGAAACATTTTGGTAACAGGAAGATAAATGAGCCTATGGATAGTCGGTTGTTTAGGTGTTAAACAAAACCATATTCAATCTTCACAAGTCATAAAGTGAGAGTAATGGAGTCTCACTCTTTAAAGGTTGAATGCTTACCTGTCAATCAGGATTTATTACCTTTATCCTTTTCCTCTGACTTGACCAAATAACTAATTTCATTTAAAAAGTCTGTTTATTCTTAGTTCTTTCTGGCTTACCTCGAAGACTACCAAACCAGCAAAGATTCTGTAGTCTCATGCACTCCTGATAGTGTATCTCCACTTTCATTAGTTTGCTCTGGTGTTTTGCATAGGCCTCCTGATCAAACAAAAAACAAAAAGAGAATTGTAAATTGTTCTGCACTGAATGAGAACAAAATTAAAGAAGAAAATAACAAAGCTCCTTTTCACCTTGTACAGGTAGAACCAGTTCCAGGGAATGCTGACAAAGAAGGAGATGGCAAATGTGGTAATAAAACACTTCAACCATGAAACTCTTAGCTGTGGCTTAATTAAGGCAATAAGTACACCAATTATAGAAAAGAACCCGATCTGCAACAGAGAAGAATAAACAAGTTAAACAAGATTGAAAACTCCTCAATGCTGGAGAAGTTTTCAAGACTGAGAAAACTCATCTTTGAGTTTTCTCAGTCTTGAAACATCTATTATTTGAATTCCAGTTTCAAATTACAATACTTTTTCACATAGCGCCAGATTGGATTTCATAGCTTTTTTTTCCTTTATTAAATTTAATCATCTGAAAATTGCATGTAGAATTTTTCTACACCTGCCTCTTTGTCTGAAACTATAATTTGACTGATCTGAAACATTTGTGTGTCAAAAAAGCAAAAAACAAATTAACTCTGTAAGAAGCCAAATACTTTCACACACTCATCTACAGCTCTGGAGGACAAAAATAATTTTTTTAAATGATTTGTAATTATGTGCAAAAGTAAAAGTGACATTTTCCCCAAATTTGTAATAAAATGTCATTTTCAGCATTTACGTGGCCACAACTTTTCAATCTTTGCATTCTTTCTAGTAGTGTTTCAGGCTGATGATTGCACTGGTGACTCATAAAGAAGAATCTGGAATGTTTTGTGGATCTGGACCCAAATGAAGACAAGAGAATTATCAAATTTGCAACTGTCAAAATAAGACGTACAGAGGAACTAAAGAATCTAAAGAAAAAGTAGATACGCTGGTATGAAAGACAGCAGCCTAAGGACAATGCAAGGATCTGACAAGATTGTAAATGACTGTAAACGATTGATACTGGTGTATGTATGAAATACTCCAGATATATTCTGGACAGAAAAAAAAAAGGCTAACTTTGAACTGCTGAGGAAATGATTAATACACTTTGATTGATACTGAGAGGTTTTGGTGTGAATCCCAAATGTGTAAATTTAAATGAGCAATTCGAAAAGCAGCCACCAGCATTAGGTTTCGATGCTGCAGTAGAATATTCATCAAACAGCAATACAACTAAGAGATGTCAGCACTCTGTCTGATTTGTCTGACCAGACTGGAGACTGCAGGTGTCCTTCAGACCATCTTAATACAACGGCTTACGTTCAAGGCAAGCAGAGGGAGCAGAGAGCGATTCCCCTCATTCTAACTGAGGCCTTCCACTTTGGGGAGTCATGGCACATTCGGGACAAAAGAACCTTCTACATCTACAACCTATTTCCATAAAATTGACTGTTTTAGTTATATAAGATTCATAATGTTATTTCTTCATTAAAACATACCCTTAATGTTCTTTTGATTCTTTCATACATGTTTGAGAAATCTTTGTATCTCCTGTGGCAGCTGATGAAGGTGCCTAAACATTTGCTCTCACAAAAGCCTATTTGCACTCAGCTCCTCCAGACTAGCAGCAGCAGCGATTAGAAAACACCTGATGGAACTGTGCACCTTCTGAGCTCATCCATGAGGTACTTCTCAGTCCAACACTGCTAAGAATGGTTGCAAACAGCATAATGGGGGAGCATTGTTGTGATGGCGTGCTGAAGGAGTGCCAGAAAGAACAGGAACTTCTTAAAGGGACAGAGGTCCAATTTCAAGGTGTCAATTAGTGAAGTCAAATTACTTCTGTTTGATAAATGCAGAATTTTATAACAATTGAAGGTAACATTGATATATGATCATGTTATAAGATGAAACTATGAGCCTGGAAAATACATACTACAACCTCCTTAAGGTTTTCTCTCTCTCTTTTCATTTTTAAGACATTAGAGAATCTAAGCCAAAGAGTAGGTTTTTAGTCATAATAAAAAAAATGTCACCAACCCCAGTAAGCTTGTTTGGGATGAATATCCAGCTAGTGTATAGAATATATTTGGAATATATCCTACATATACCAGCAACAATCATTCATAATCCAATATCAAAAATGCCTAAAGATCAGCTAAAAAAAGGATTCAAAGTTTGAATCTAATCATAACAACGCTATTTATGCAATATAGTTTATTAAACAGTATTAAGTTGGGTTAGAAGTTCATTTAAAAAAATTAATAATCTTACTGTTAACATTGGGACAAGATCTAGTCCAAACATGTATTCAACACTGGTGAAAACATTGTGAGGTTTAAGTTCCACCAGTATGCCACTGAGAGCATCATCCAAAGCCTCGGGTCTCCAGTTGTCTTCACCGTTCATAAACATTTCAAGTTCATTTATGGTTTGTTTTGACAGTTTGATCTTGGCATTGTAGTAAAAGTCATTGAAGTCTGTGGGCTGAGAGAGAGATTGGGAAAAGTGCATTAAAGTGAAAATGACCTGTTCTCTTGTTTTGTTCCACAGCTATTTATGAAACAAAAAACCCAGTTGGGGTATAAAGTTTGACAAATGCAAAACTCCAAAAAATCTTACCAAGTATTTCCAGTCTAGTTTATAGGGAAAATATTTGAGTCTGCTTTTCAGCAACATCTTGCTGAAAATAAACTTTTCAGCAACATATAGGAGCTTTGTCTCATTTCAGGTGAGTTAAGATATTTGCACTAGAAACTAGACTATAAATAATTGGTAAGATTTTGTGTTTTTGGAAAGTGCTTTTGACCTCAGAACATTGCAACACAGAAAAATACAGCATAATAGAATGCATAAAATCCTGACTTACCTCACCAGCTCTGTATATTTCCTTCATGAGCCTGCCAAGAAAACTCTTCAACACTAAATCACACCTCAGTTTTGGTCTTACCATAATCTAGATGAGATAAAAACAAAGTATTTAGAAAACAGAACTTTCTCTGTCCATCTTGACCACTGTTGTTCTAGGACCCCAAAACTCAGTTTTGGATCTTATTTTGTTTATTTTATATTTATTGCCTCTTGGTCAAATTTTTAGCATTTAATTTGACTGCTTTGCAGACAAAGCCCAGATTTATATCCCCCTAAAAATTTTAAACAGTCAAATCTGAATCTGCAGGAATGAAGAGATTGTTTAGCTAAATTATGGATGGACCTACTAAATTTTCTTCACCTCAATCACAACAAAGCTCAAGTCTTATTATATGAGCAACACGTTTTTACTCAAAATCAGGATTAGCTCCATTTTGTAGGTTAGGGATCTTGGTGTTTCCTTTGAATTAGTACAAAAATAAAAACTTAGTTCAGTTGTTAAATCAAGTTTTCACCAAGAGCAAAGGTGAAGGAGGAGACTTCTGCTTTGTCTTTTGAAGGAATTATCCATACCATTATTGCATTGCAATTGAATGATTGTAATTTTTTATATAAAGGCGTGGATAAATCCTTAATACAATGTCTTCACATGATCCAGCTCGGCTTCTTCCTCCCCTTTGATGCCGCAAGTGCCCTTTTTGAAGTTTAAGTTCATTTTGGTATCTGAACTGATAAAGTCTGCTGATTTCTCTGAAGCATCAAATGAGTCACAGAGATATTTAACAGCCAGAAATATCATGACATGCAGATTTATAAAATCCAACAGTTTTAGGATAAAAAATAAAATATACTCACCTCAGAGAAACTCCACATTCTTCCCTGTGAAATAGAACAAAATCATAATCTGTTTCAGCCAGATTTCTTTAGAATCTACGCAGGTATGTGTGAGGTGTGGCTTTTCAGCACAAGCAGCTACACTTACTGGCAAACAAGATTGAGAGGGAAGATATCTGTCGATAATGGGAAGGGTAGGAGCCTTCATTCTACATGAAGATATTCATGTAGAATTCATATCTCATAACAAATTATCTAGCTGAGTTGCTGACACAAATCTGTACTACTCGTAAAAGTAGTGCAGATTTGCATAATGCAAGTTATCATTTAAATTCTCTCTCCTGTTAAACAGGTATGGATTTTAGGATTGCGGAGAGAAAATTAAAAACAAAAACGTATTATTATTCCAATCCCAGTTCTTTAGGCTGTTTGGCACCATGCTGAGCATCAAGTCAGAAGTAGTCCAAAGGAGTTCATATTTATTCATGAACATGGGTCAGAAATGCATGAATAAACTGTTTGGAAACACTGGAATATATTATCTCTCCAGGTCAGCTATCATTAATGTGTTTGTTCAGATCTAATTAGTTCCTAATGAGTTATAGATGTTTTTTTCAGAAACCCAAATTACCCTAAATAAATGTCATATTTGAGCATAAAACATATCAGTATACATGATTTCTTTAAAAAAACAAAATACAACAGTTTAGGTTTAAACATAAAACATCTACTAACCTCAGAAGGTTTCCACACACAATCCTGTTGAAAAGATGAGTCAAGGTGCTTTGCATCAGGTGTGGTTTGTCTGACAGCAGCTACTCTTGCTGGCAAACAAGACTGGGAGGGAAGATACGTGGCAGTGATGGGGAGGGTAGAAACCTTCAATCTACATGAAGAGCAGTCACCTGGGGGGGCGCTGCGGAGCGGTCTATGGAGAAGTCACCTGAAGAAGCTAACAGAGCCACTCACGTTAAACTAATTATGCTCTCAAAATAGGAGAATAGTGCAAGTTTGCCAAATATTTAATTTATCTCAAATGCTGAGGAAGGTACGGAATTTAAGATTGCAAAGGAGATATTAACAATGCTTTGTAGCACAATGAGGACAGAGTCAACACAGAGTTGCAAGAAGGATGAACATGTACACTTAGATTCTGGCATAGATTAGAAGACATGAATGAATAGTTTGGAATCTGTGACAGAGTATGAATGTAGGCATCTTGAAGTTGATTAACAGAAACCTGTTGTTCAGTTTGATAACCACAACAGCAGGGCAAACAAAATTATCCTGTCAAGGAAATATCTTCACTTCCTTAACTTATGAATTGTGAGATGTTTGCTTTGAGTATCCAAATATTGAAAGTCATATTCTGTAACTGCACTTTAAGATGTCTGATATAATTTCTTATTACAACTGTGCATTACTGGCAAAATAAGAAACACAATGATGCCCCAAAACAAGCCCATTTAGTTTTATACTAAAACCAATGGAGCCTAAATCCATTTCTAGTTCCCTACCCTCCTGCTACTTTTAGATGCATCTCCTCTCCAACTCTCCTGAATCAGAACATGGTAATAAGGCTTTTAAGCTTGCTAAAGAAGGTGTAATGGAGCAGAGATACATCAAAATGTTGCTGGACACTGGCCCTTGAAGACTGGACGGCACCAGTGGGCTATTGTGATTGTAATCTTTTCCCGCTCTGCTGAAGTCTTTGTCCTCTACATAAAGATTTACATATATTTACATATCTATTTATATAAATATATATGTTAAAAAACACACACACACACACACACAAATCATGATATGTAACACAGTTCGCCAGCTTTCAGCCGTCAGCTTATTTCAGTGATCTAGGTGTGGACACTGTTTACATACAGTAAACAGTGTTGTAATGTCAATAATTTGTGGTGCATCGCTACTGTAAATAGTCTTTAACAATGGCTCAGTGAAACTCTTATCTAATCTACACTCGAAAGGCACACAAAACTTAAGACTCTCCTATTTGATGTGGGTCTTACTTTGACTGCATGTTTTCAAAACTGAGACATTAACCTTAAATATGAAAACTGCAGTGAGAGGACTAGATTTCTGCAGCACAAACTCTGAATAGTTACACCTATAAACTGGTCAAATCTGCAGTCAGATGTGTTAGTCTGGCACAAAAAGGACCAATATTTGCAGCATTCATTTTCTCATTGAAGTTACTTTTTGCACCAACTCCACTGCACTCCAGATTGTTTCTATGGCACTTTTTTTTTTTTTTTGCAAGTCTTAAAGACTGGTGTCACAGAGGAAAGTGTCTATTCACATAAATTGGGCCACGGTTTCTATTTCACTGACACAGAAAGAGAAAGGAAACAAAACTTAGAACCTTTCTCAAGAAATGGAAACCTAAAGCATTTGTAGAAATGAAAGAATGTAAATCTAATTTTGTTTTGCTAATGACGCATACAAACAGGATGAATGTCAGTAACATAAACTTGTATTTCTTGTTTGTTCAGAGCCTGCATTTCTAATATTGGACCCATTGTGCAACTACCTATTTTAACTCCTGCGTAGAGAAAATGTTGATGAATTCCTCTTTTTAACACAGTTTTAGTGACTCTCACTGTATGAAAGTGTAACTTGAAGATTAAATTATGGCCGGTATCAGGACATCAAACTCCCTTTATCTTATTAAAAATATAGGCAGATGTTTTGAAAAACTGAACAGTAGAATTATTTTCAACAAAAAATATTAGGTGTAGATTACATACAGATAGATATATTTGACTTTTTTAAAAATATCTTAGTTTTACTTTAAATTCAACCATATGTGTGGAAGCCAATATATTTTCCAAAAGTTACACCCAGAATGGAGAAACAATGTGAAATTCTGATCAACTATTTTCTATATTGCTCTCAATAATTACATCTGTTCAATTATAAATACAGACTGTGGAAAATTATTCAATGTTTGATTGGAAACTACAGGTTTTTTCATCCATTTTCCACCACTTAGGTTTTTTTAAAAAAATAATTTATTTTCTTGTGTTAATTTTTTAAAATAAAAGTCACCTTTCATTTCCCTCCACCTAGTTTTTCTTAAATTCTAATGCAAACATTTATTCTTTCTTCAAAATATTCAGCTGGATCCTTTCAATCAGTAAACACAGCTCAGTACGTTATCACCATTAGAGCCTTCAAATCAATGTACATCCAAAAATATGAATTTTATTTGCATAAAGACGGGGTTCATCCATTAAAAAAAAACATTTGGAAGTTCAATTAAAAATTAAAATCTGATATCAGTCTTAATTAAACTTTAGTAGCATCATTCGTGTCCAAATGTAAAACTTTGAAATTCCCATCATCCTGATGATGTTGAAGAAAGGCTGGTGTGCAACTCTGTGCTTTGCTCTTTTTACCTTAAAAGAAAGTACAACCGTTCAAAGAAACAAGCAGTAATTCTACAAATCTGAGCACAAAGCAGAAAATGAACAATACAGTTGAATTAATATCTACAGTCCAACATTTAAAAGCCATTTGGTCTGAGACCAAATAGCACCAGTCACTGATGGGTAAACCTCTTGCTGTTTTGATCAACAGTATTTATTCTGCTGTTTGACTCGTCTCCTGAACAGGAACTCCAACCGTCTCTATTCTTGTCAATGATATCGACTGGGTCTTTTCTTCTCCCGAGGCTCCTGGATCCTGCAGGGACAAGATTGACATTTAAGTTTTACAAGCAGCTTGTATATGTATTGGCCTAAAGGAGACGCCTCTTCTGCTGCAAATAGTCGGCACCACTTGTCTTTGGATTCTGGTATTCTAGAATTGGAAAACACATCTCTAACTCCATCATCCCCAATGCTGGGATGCATCAAGGGTGTGTGCTCAGTCCCAGTTTGTGTTGCAGTTTATTATTCAGCCTCCTGTTTGTGCATGTATGCCACTGCAGCAGTGCGTCAAAATTCACAAGTGAAAGGAAACTTAAAAAACTAAGATAATCTTCTAATCTGAACTAGTTTGATGCAAACTAAAAACAACTCACCTGAACATTAGTCTGTGAAGGCTGCATGTCTGCTGGTTGGGGTGGCTCTACTGTAGCGTTTCTTCTGAGTTCATCTTTAGAACCTTTCTTCTTTGCTTGTGATAAATTTGATTCAGTTTGTTGGTTTTTTGGTTGGTCTTTTTTAGCAGCAGCATTTTCTTTTTCTACCTCCTCCCGGGTCTCCCGCTGGTCTTCAGACCCCGAGTTAACAGAAGTGTTCTCCGCTTTAACGCTTTCCTCATGCTGCTCACCATCTAGTTCATCCTCGCTGAACCGAGGGTCTGCAGCTTTTAGAGTCTCCACACCGACTGGTGCTCTTTCCTCCTTGACCCTGTTGGGTCGTCTGCGGTGAAAGTTGTTCCTGTCCACTATCGCATTATCCCCTTGCTGCCGTGGGATGTGCTGTTGAGCAATTGCAAGTGGAGGTGCGTGAGTAGGTGCGTCTCCTCCAGCCAGGTAGTCGCGGTTCTCAATCCTGGGAGGAGGTCGCTGGTTATGCTCCAGCTCTGCAGGGGGGGGGTCCCTTCGAGGGCGGCGAAAAGGCGCCATGATGCCATGCTGAAAGGCCGCGTGCACACTTACATATATGACCACCTGGATGAGAATCAAACATACCCGTCAAAAGATCCATCGCCTTTACCGTTCACCTTATTTTATTACTAAGTGTGATGATGTGTGTTTACCAAAATAGAAAGCACAATAGTGATGAGGACTGGGATCTGGAGAGTAACTGGGAGATCTCTGAGGAGTTCCCTGAGGAACTCACTGATTCCCTGCCCAAAATGCTTCAGCGGCTCTGTGATGAAGGTTGTGAGGGTGACCGAAATAGCCTAAAAAATAAAGTATTTAAGGATTAAACATTTTAAAAACGCAAGTTACATAGCACGTGAAAGTTGATGTTTAACACAGAAAAAACATTTTAAGATGAAAGTAACTTTCAATTAGTAGCTGGATAAAAGTGTTCAAGTCAGACATCTATGTCTGCAATTAACTCAAAGCAGAAATACGAAAACACGATTCAGCTAAGTATATATTTTACACAACATTCACCAACATTATTGCATGTTTTTGTTTTCTACTATTATTGAACACTATTTTTTCCTTGTCTGGTATGAAGCTTTTTAGGTGATCTCAAACATTTAAGTGAGATCAAAAAAATAAAGAAAAATAAAGAAATCTGTCAGGGAATGTTTCAACAGCACCAGGCATGTAAAGATCTGCTGCACAGGTTCTACATTTTGTGTCATGATTATGCTAATGTGAATAACCTTGCAGCATGAGGAAGCTTTTACATAATACCAGGCAAATGCTTCAAGCATTTTAACAGCTCTGTTTACCACCTCAGCAAACATTAACACATTCATGAAGGCCTACCTTGGTTGGAGGCACCAGCAGGAGGGGGTTAACCATGAGGACTTCATAGTATTTTTTGCAGGGGTCATCTTGCAGAGTCCAGGTGGTTCTGAACCACTCTGTAGAATAAAATTCAGTTAAAAGTGCATTTCTTTTACTGAATTGGGCAAATATTAAGTTGAACCAACTGATTTGACTTTCAGGACATCAAATATATGTGATTATGCTTGAAGGCTTACCTTTTAGATTATCCCTCCAGTTAATTTTCTTCACTCCAGTGCATTTTTCATTGAAGTTTTCCATCTGTACTATGTCGTTCTGGTGCTTAGCGAAAGCAGTCTGAATAAGTAAGAAAAGCACATTATTTCAAAGCTCTGCAGGGCAGTCAAATAAAACAACAAGACACTTGTTTTACCTGGTACAGATAAAACCAGTTCCAGATAATGCTGACAAAGAAGCAGACAGCAAACATCCTCCTGAACTGAACTAACCAGGAGACAGTTGACCACAGCTGGGTGCATATTATGGTTGATATAATGAGAGCAAGTATCATGATCTGGAACACAGAATTAGCTATTGTTATTTAACACTACACTTGGTTAAAACCTCAGTTACAATATAGAAATGTACTTTTATTGCTGGTTAATGTTTGTTAAGAAAGGTAAAAAAAAAAATCATCTGACTGCAAGTTTGACCTTTGACTGACTTACGAGATATACAAGGCCAGCTGACCTGTAACCTACAAAAGATACTATACATGCAAAATAAAATCAATACCTTTAATACTGTATCCAGCTCCACACCAAAGAAGTCTTCAAAACGCCACTTCCAAGCCTCATAATCATGTTGTTTGAAGTCCACCAAAATCTGACTGAGTGCATTGTCCAGAGCTCCCGTTCTCCATCGCTCCTCGCCCTCCAGAAGTGACTGAATTTCAGTCATGGCTTGTTTGGACAGCTTGATTTTGGCATCATAGAAGACATCTGACGAGTCAGTTGGCTGATGAGATTGAAAAAATAAAGACAGAAAATTGTTTGTTGTTTAGCTTTTTGGGTTCATTCCTATAAAAAACACCAAAAGCTACTGTGCTTTCCAGTTAAAACAGACACCTTAATGATCATTTATTACGCCTTGGATTAAATAAGGACTCACCACACCGAGTCTTTCTATTCCCTTCAACAGTCTGGTGAGGAACCGCTTGAATACTGGGTTGCAGGAAGGCTGCTGTGACATGAGAAACATCGCCTTCTTCTGGTCCTCAATCTAAAGCAAAGTAAAACTTTATACAGATGACTTTCTGTGCAGTTATACAAACATTAATGTTTTGGATCTGTGTGAGAAAACTGGGTGCATATTATGGTTGATATAATCAACCATAACTCCATGCACAGGGAGAATAATGTCAACAGCATGCATAAAATCGAGATTCAATGCCAGGACCTTCTTGCAAGGCAACAATGTTACTGTTTACAAAATAAAATGGCTTACAATTTTAACTCGTGTGTTTACCTTTTCAAAAAATACATGAAAAGTCGTTTGGTATTTAATTCTTTAATATTTAGTATTATGCTTCTGTACACATTTCTGAATCCAGCTGCCATCTTTAGTAGGGAAGTGAACATTTCACAATGACATTAAGTGTCTGACTTTTGTGTGCACCGACCTGTCTCTGCAGATCCTCCACCTGGTGATTACAGCTCGTCAGCTCAGGCTGGTCCTGGTTCTGGTCCTGGACGTACTCTCTTCTTTTGGTGGCCACGTTGGTAAAGGTTGTCGGCTGGGAAGTAGAAACACCCACAAGCTGAACTCTGCACCAGCACCAGAGACGTCACCATATTTTTTTCACAGCACTCAACGTGTTTGCGTTTCAACCAACCTCGGGAGGTTTCCTCATCGTTTTGGTGCTGGAATCGTAGTTGAGCATGTCGTAAGGATCGAGCCAGTGGTCGTCTGCCTCCTGACCCCGAGCAGACAGCAGGCAGCACAGCAGCAGCAGAAACAGCATGTCGTCCATAAGTACAGAGGAGCAACTGAACACGAACTGAAACTATTATGCCGAGGATACAGCTACAAGGACAAAGAGTCCATCGAGACACCAACTTTGGTCCATGTCGTCATTTTAAAACATTACTGCGTTACCGAAAGTAAAAGTTACCGCCACATAAACGCTTCGAGCCGCACAACAACACGGAGCAGGAAAGATCCGCGTTCGGCTACTTCGTAAAAACCCGGAAGCAGTTTAAGTGATTGTGAAAGGGATTGTGGGAAATGCAGTTTGTCTTAAAAAAAAGATTTAAAAGGGATGTCTCGCAAAAGAAAGTGGAAAAAAAAAGAACCCACTGACTGCTTTCTCAGATGTGTTTTTAAAATATGGCCAAACAATTAAAAGGCTTTGAAATGGTTATACAGTTTATGTGATTACTATATATAGTATATATGATCTAAGTAAATGTCTATACTCAGAGTAGACATTTTAGTTACAGTGTAATTTAAACAAATAATTAAAAGTAGTTGAAGTTGTAAACATTTTAGGTGGTGTCTTAAAAGTCATATACAATAAAGATTAAAAACAAGAAAAAATAACGCAGTACCAGGGTTAATATAAAATTGATCTTCTTGCTCAAGTACTGAGCTCATTATGTAGAGGGACATTAAAAAGGACATAATCCAATAAAGAATGAGAAGCTTGAACCAAATTATTAAGTCCAGTGCTTTATTTTACACAATTTCTATACATCGCAACACTTTGCTGAGGTAGAAGCATTAAAAAAACTTTACTAAAATAACTCCAGTTAATTAACAAAAGCCTCAAAATTACACATCAAAGTCATTTTTCACAGAAAAATATTTTCATCTAATTGTAAAAATGTCCACTTCAAACAGAAAACAAAATCACAGTGAACCAGTAAACAGCAAACAACACTGAAACATCAACTGGAGCTGAATCACTGATTTAAATTTCTTTGAATAGTCATTTTTCTCAACAAAAAGTAATGTTTTTTAATCTTTATAAAATAAAATTTGTAACTTTTTAACTCTCTTTTTTATAGTGTTAAATGTCTGTCACATAGGTGTTTCTGAATGTGTGGGTTGTGTAATTACAATGAATGGCTACCAAATGTTCATAACAAAAAATACAGCATTTCTTTTTAAAACTAAAAATACGAAAAGATCAATGTATTTTGTCTTATTTAAACATTTTTTGTTTATTGCTCACTTCAACAGTCTTTTCTTGAAAATGTAATACAACTGGTACTAATCACAGTGGCAATATTAAGTTTTGTGCATTGGGGAATGTTTCCCTTTGTATCCAAAGAAAAATAAAACATTCTTGATAAAAGAGCAAAGCGTCCTGTTGCACCTACATTCAGCTTATCACAGAGGAGACATTTTACTGTTCACAAGACGATTATACTATCAAAATATGTGTCAAGCAGTTAAATGTGTAATTTCTGAACAACAAACTTTGCTTTGAAGACTAATCCACTAACTTTGGACTTGTCTCCTCAACAGAAGTCGGTAGTTCCTTAAAATTCGTTTTTAGAGACATGGAGGACACGTCGTCTTCCATGATGTCTTCTATGGCCTGCAGAAATCGGTTTACAATTGATTACAATAAAACAACTCCAAATTTCTAATAAAAAACAGAAAACACCTGAAGTTAAATTTATAAAACAAGATCATTTATGAGTTATTTTCTCAACTACACATTATAAATTGTAGTTAAAAAATAAATGCATCAGAGAGATCAAAATTGGTCAATCTTTCATTAATCTTCGATCAGCAAATGGCGAATCAAATGTGGAATTTATTTTTCTCCATGTTTTTTTAAATTAGATAAAACTAAGAACTCCCATTATTTTTGGACCGTAAACATATCAAACAGCAGCAGGCATTTTTAATTGAATAAAAAAGTAGGGCATTTGCAGTAATGTAAATGCAAACGCAAATGCATAACTTTATTTTGAATTGGATAAAAAATTATTGCCTCTATTGACAAAAGCTTGCAGTACATTATTTCCCTTCTATATATTATATTAATGAGGAAATGAAATAGAATTTGTCATGCTTCCAATTGGCTCATCAGACCTCAAATCCTGGTTGGTTCAGTGCAACCCAGTAAAGTTTGAACAAGTTTGAAACATAAATAAACATCCTTTTAGACAATGTGAATACATAAATAAATATAATTAATGCATAATATTTATGAAGTACTATATAAATATGGTCGGCATTCATAATCTATGTATTCAAACAATTGTCACAGTTTTAAAACATGTTATTTGATATAGTTTTATACATTTTCAAAAGAACCAACCTCTTGATCAGCCTGTGAAGGATTCCCGTTGTCTGGGTGTGAGCTGTCCGGTTCATCAGTGTTGGCAGCAGACTTCTCAGGTGTCTTCTGCTGGTTTGTGACCCTTGAACTAACAGAGGGATTCTCCATCGCCTCAACATTTTCTTCATTCTCATTTTTTCTAAGATCAGGTTGAACAAAGCCCGATGTCTCTGCAGAGGTGCTACTTCCCACGTTATCGTCAAGACTTTTGTCAACAGCTTGGTCACAATCCTGACCAGACGCAGACATCTGATCACCATCCTTCACTCCTGAAGGAAGATCTTGCTGCTTATTTATTGGTGTCTTGGTGTCGTGCTGCAAGCCAGGCTCTACACTTTCATTCATGAACCACTATGTATCAATAAAGCACAAATATTAAGTGAAGTGATCATATATCCAGAGCTGTGTATTTGTGTTAATGAAAATTTGGCTTCTCATTACCACAATGATGAGCATGATGATCATGAAGACTGGAAACTGAAGGGTAACTGGCAGATGTTTTAGGATCGCTCGATGAAGTTCACTAATCCCCTCCCCAAAGTGTCTCAGTGGGTCTTTCATTAAAATCCTGAAGGTAAATGATACTACCTAAAGAGAAAATAATGTTAAGAACAAATAAATATAACTATTCAATTAGAGACAGAACTACTCCAAAACTGGCAACTCGCAGGACAAAGTCATAGTTGTAAGAATAGATCTTACTGTCTTTGTTCAGATCAGACACACCAGGTGACCCACCTTGGTTGGACATACAAGATGGAGGGGATTGGTTCTAAAAAAAGCATAGTAATCTTCGCAGGGGTCGTCATGGAGAGGCCTGCTGGTTCTGAACGACTCTGCAGATTAGCACGAAAATAGTTTATTTAGCCTGACCAAAAACAATCTTACACGACTCCAAATCACATCTTCTACACCATTTAAATACTATGTAATCAAAAATAAGTTTTTCTTTCAAACCTGACCTATATCACAAAATCGTCTCCCACCAAAGTATTGGAAGATACAACATTTACGGTAATACAAACTCATTTTCAGGGTTTGCTGTATTTCACCTGTGAACCACCTGGTTTACCATTTCCAGGGTGAATTTACCATTTACAGAAAGGATGTATTCAAAGATATAAAAATTCTATTACACTCAATAATCTTTCAAACAAGTGAAGATAACAAATCAATATAACTTAATTAGTTTGCATTGCTATGCATTTCTAAGCGCAGTCCCACCTTTCAAACCATCGGTCCAATGCATTTCTTCTATTCCTTTACATTCTTCATTGAGGTTTGCAGTTTCTCTGATGATGTTTTGATGCTCAAAGAAGGCAACCTAAACAAACGTTGAAAGCATTTAACGGTTAAACATTGGATGGCAGCTAAACACAAAGCTAGAGAATCAAAGGTGCTCTGGATTACCTGGTACAGGCAGATCCAAGTCCAAGGAATACTGACAAGGAAGTAAAAAATCAGGACCCTGATGAATTTCAAGGGCCAACAGATTAGAGGACCAGAAGATTTCTTCTGGATGCAGATGATGGCTAACAGACTCAAAACAAGCATCCCGATCTGGAAAAAGAAGGCGGCCATAGCAAGTAAACGGGATGGGGAACGTTTATTCTTTAAGACATGGAAATGACAGATGACAACAACTTTATAAGGAAAAGCATCTCTGCTCTTCTGCTTCCAGATGATGGACTGAGCAGTGCTCCTCCATGTGTTCGTCAAAATGTGGGATATAGCTCCCTCAAGCTATTGTGCGTGCACCCCAACAGATTTTTTGATCAGGATTATTTATTTTGAGCATGTCAAACAGTGTTTTTGCATGCACCCTGTTGAAACACTAACCTGTCTCTGCAGATCCTCCACATGTTGACCAGTGGATCTCCAGTGAGGCTCAGTCTAAGTACAGAGAAAATGGACACTAGGACGAGTTTTTAAATAAAATAAAAAATAAAAAAGTAGATATAAACGGACCTTGATGGACTTTCGCATTGTTTTGGCAACTGAATCATAGTTGAGCATGTCATAAGGGTCGAGCCACTCGTCGTCCATCTGTACGCGCCTGGAAGAATAGCAGCAATAAAAGCTGGTGGATAATGCAAAAGATCCAGTTTTCACAACATGACACTTTCAGCCAACCTAAAATAAAATGGATGACGTAAACATAGAGGACTTCGCAGCACCTCTAACCCAAACCTACAAGTATCAACCGAAAGTGAAAGCAAAAAAAAAAAACAACCAAAAGATGAAAACAGAGCGGTGTCCAGAGAAAGCGGTGAGGAAAATACGAACCGTAAAGAAGTCACAGTGGAAGATTTAATGGCGGCGGAGATATTGCCGTCCACATGCCCGCTGCTGGACGTAAATGGGCCGCAGGAGTTTATGAGGAGGAGCTGTCAGATACACATTCCTATGCGCTCCGCCTTCTTAATGCCATAAACACTCCCAAAAACTTCATTGGTCTGAAGGACCTTTAAGAAATAAAATGCTCAAAACAATGAGCAAAAGGCTCGTGTTTGTTTACAGTACACGAGTACATCTTATTTAATTCCTAAAGTAATGCAATAAAATGATTTACTTCACATTTTCCAGATGACTGAAAAGTGGACTGTCTAAATTATGTCATCTGAACTTATATATATGTATATATGAGCAAAATTAGCTTCAATAAATGACATCATAAAATTATGCAAATATTTAGACAAGATCTATAGACTGTATAAGTTGAAACATAACTATAAAGGAAGTTTAGCATCATCACCATCATCTAAGAATGTAAACAAAATTTAGGATTCCTCATTTAAAAAAACAAAAGGAATTTCAATTTAATTTAAATAAAGAACAGTAGCCTATGACCTGTAGTCACAGTAAGCCATGTAAATAGCAATATTATGACTCATTAATAATAGTTTGCTTACTATGTAATAAAATGAGTACTTCTTATAATTTCTTGTCAGATAACAAAACGTGTTGCCATGTTTTTGGCGCCTACCATACTATCTGCATATTTTATAACAAAAAATAGTTTTATGATCATTTGAGAACTGTATTTTGTATTTAATCTGATTACCTACTTTGCATTAAAGTTTGTTGAATGACTTTAAACATTACAATGTGACAAAAAAAGTAAAAACTGAAGAATTCTGTTAGTGATTGTTGTTTGTACAGCATTGCAAATGACATACTTTTCCAAACCTTTAAAAACCTCGGACCTACAGATCTGACCAAATATAAAACAAAATGTGAAAATAAAAAGCATTTACCATCTAGTCTGAGTAAAACATTTATTGTCAAATTGTAAATATTTACAAAACATCATGAATGCATTTACTGTAGTTAGGATAAACTGCAGTTCATCTGCAGGGAGGAAAAGTAACATCAGCGTAAACACCACCAGAACAGGTCCGAAGTCTCCAAGGCTTAAATACTCTTTCAGTCATATTTACCTGAAAACAGTATTTAAAAATAAACTCAAGTTCATGTGTTCACCACAGAGAAGCTTGATGTGTAAAAGAGAAGGAGAAAGTTCAGATTTATTTTCCTCTCTTCCCTTTACCACCCTTAGGCTGTCGTCCTTTCCCTTTTCCTCCTCTTGCTCGCTGTTCTTTCCTCTGCACCCCCCGCATGTCCTTCTTCATGCGTCCATCCACCACTTTGAAGAATCCCTTCACTCCACGAGGTCGTCTCACCTTCTTACCAACTCCTTTTTTGGCTACCACGTATGTTACTTCTCTTTTTTCCTTTTTCACGCCTGCTTTTTTGTAGATACTGACAGAGTACAGAAAAAGAAACTCGATTAGTATATGCATTTTTTAAAAGTTAGCACCAACCGGTAAACGACCGCAGCTCCAGTCTCACAGTTGTCAAAACAAACCTCTTTAGCTGAGCCATCTTCTCTCTTTCAGAAATGTCGGCAGTGTTGACGACAGCCTCTGCCTTCTTCTTGGCTTGCTCCATCTTCTTCAGCATCTAGATGAATCCAACAGTAACTGGACTTAATCTCTGTCCATTCTCTAAATTATAATGATTTCATTCCTTCTGTATATCCTCAATCTGACCTAGTTTCACAGCGTTTTTCTCTTACCCTTCTCTTCTTCCTGGCCTTCGCTTCAGCCACCCGTTTGATTGGCCGGGCATTGATCTCTTTCCATTTCTGTTTGTATTCCTCCACCATCTCCTTTGTGACAGGCATCGGCCGTTTCCTGTGTTTGCGTTCATCATCCAGGAACCACTCTGGTACTTCCCATGGCTCGTCAGAGTTGGCAAACCTACAAAGCAGAAACAATCAGCCCCTCTGTATGGACTAAGAATTCATCCAACCCAACAGTGTGGTTCATATTGTGCTGAGTGTATCAAAAAATAGCAATAAAAATAATATTAGTTTTGTGTACCCTCTACTGGAAAAGGTATGCACATTTTTGAAGTATGGCTTCCAAAAGCATTTACCTGTGGAAGGAGTGGTCTATCAGATCTCTGGCTCTCTTCTTGGATGTAGCAATCTCACAGCCGAGGGCCAGACCCTCTGCGTCCAGGATGCGGGCTTTTTTACCTGAAAACCAAAGAAAACATTTTTAATACAAAGTTCAACAACTATTAAACAAATTCTGCAGTAGGAGAAACCTAAGATTTCAGCATTTGACTTCTTGTGTCCTGGCCAGATAAAATGTTCTTTCCCCCACAAAGCTTACGTTTCTCTGTTCTCATAGAGGCTTTTATACTCACTGGTGCTTTCAACAGGAACCACCTGGAAGTTGTCATCTTCAGCCCCTCCTGATGCCCCTCCGGATCCCCTGGCTTGCTTCATTTTTGTAATCTCACTGAAACAAAATAAGTGAGAATTGCATATCAGTGGATGTTGAGGTTGCCGCAGCAGTGCCCTACTATTTAAACTTAAAATTTCCTTCCATTAACTCTACATTTTGGAGGAAAGTTTTACTTTTCGTCATCGCTGCTGTCGTCCGAGTCGCTTTCCTCTGCTGCTTCCTGTGACGGCTCTGGAGTTTCTACCTCTGCAGGAGCAACTTCCTCTTTTTCTTTTTCTTCCTCATCTTCTACTTCATCTTCACTCTCCTCTTCAGCTTTTCTCTTTCTCCCTTTTCCTACAAAACCAAAAAAAATATTTAACACATTTACAGAGCTGTAAAATGGTAACCTGTTACATTTTTTTCCTGTATGTTGTCACAGTAGTTTCACTTTGATAGAAAAGATAACCCAAATAAACACAAACTGCTGTACTTCAGACTAATGTGGCCCTATGTGAAAAAATACATATAATAGCTGTTTTTAGCCATTACTAGAGTCTTTCACATCGGTAGAGAAATACATTCAGGTTGAGTTGAAAAGTTAACATTGGTGCTAAAGTTACTAAAGCAAATAATTGTAATGACAGTTTGAAGACTGAAATAACTCAAACTATCTTCAGAGTTAAGTGTGACCAAAAAGCAAAAACAAAAGATGACTGCAAACATTTTTCATTGTATTTTAAATGAGACATTCTGAGATATGAAGGATAACAGACAGTTGCTTACCTGACTGTTTGCTTTGGAGCCACTCTGTCTGTTTGAGTTCATTCTCTGCATCACCTTCCAGGTCAATCTCTGAGAAGATGCCCTGAAGAAGGAACAGAAACCGAGATATTATTGAGTGTGTTAAATGGGTTTAAACATCCAATCAAAGGAATGTGATATGAAGTGAAATACAGAAGGAGCACTTAAACTTGCAGAAGTTGAATTAGAAAAAAAATGCATGCATGGACTAACTTTGCTGAACCACATGTTTGTTTCTCGCTCCAACTTTTCATTCTTTCCTTCCAGTTCCACCAACAAGCCACCATCCTGCTCCTCTTCCTCCTCAGCTTCCTCAGTAAACTTCACCCTGAGTAATAAAAATAGGAAGGGTGATTATTTTCTATCAAAATCAAATCATGTTCTAAAAACCTGCCTCAGACATGGCAGAAATAGAAATTAGGGCCCTACAACATATTGTGAAGATATTGTCAATCTTTACTTTTACGTGTTTACCAATAAAATATGGATTCCAAAAAGAAAAAACGACAACAACAAATCATTGAAAACAACTGTGTTGCATTCAGTGATTTTCTTGAAGGATAAGTAACTTTACTTGTTTATTAATCTAAATTAAAGTTGAAAATATGAGATTTCTTCGTTTCTGGTTGCGTCTCCCCCGAAGCCGAGGGATCACTGTGACGTCTTCTTGTAAGATGAAAATCACTTACTTCTTCGGCTTTTTCTTTTCCAGCTCTTTTTGGTTCTGTTCCACTTCTTCTAAATCCTCTTCATCCAAATCAGATGCCAGGGAAATTTCATCCACATCTTCGTCTTGATCTGAAAGGTGGATGTCATCGTCTTCGTCTCCCAGATCATCTGCAGCCTCCATGTCCCCTTTGGAGATATCAGTCAGCACCTGAAGGAAGAAAGAATATCAAAGAAAGTTTTAATTCAACTGGAAAATCATGATCACACTTCAAAGTGGAAATGAGAACAAGAGCTGACAATGACACAGGCTCATTGGTCTTCTTAATTGTGTTTGATCAGAACCTGCTGCTTTTTGAGGGAAGATAAAGAAAACAAGGATGAGTCGGTGGTGCTGGCGATGGAGACACCTGGAAGGTCCATCTTCAGCTCCACTCTCTCCCTCTGCTTCCTCCTCTCCTTCAGCAGCTTCCTCTTCTTCCTGATGAATCACCAAAGCTCAAGATATGTACACCCACCATAGCAATAAAGCAAAATTTACTGAGGTTAAGCTGCACCTGAAACATAAAAACTAACCGTTTGAGCTCAGCCACTTCCTGAGCTTTTAGGTCAGCCAGTTTTCGCTCCATTTCATCTTCCTCATCATCATCTTTTTCCTCATCGTCCTCCTTTTTCTTGTTCTCATCCACTTTTTCTTTCTTCTTCTTCTTTACATCAGATTCATCTTCTGAGTTAATGCCCTCCTCATCTGAGCTTAAACTACAAACAAGGCAGTGTTTATAAATCCTCAGTGACATTTCATTGAAACTTCATTTTGTGGTTTTAACAGAGTAATGTATTTACTTGATCTCCTGGCCAAGTTGCTTGGCCTCTTCCTTCAGTTTCTTTGCTAGATATCGTCTCAGTTTTGATCTCCAACTCAGCAGCAAACTTAATGAGGGCAGAGGAGGAAAAAACAACACCAACGTAAACGTACAGTAATGACACAAAACCAGAGCAAAATTAAGCTGCATTATTTCATTATGTATTTTAATAGAAGAAGTATGCATGTGTAGCCAGCTAAAATTAATCTGAAGAAGTGCAACGAGCACCAAGACTTGGCCGTGTCTTGGTCTGAGTTATTGGAAACACTTAGAATGGAACTACTTTGGTCCCATTCTTTAATTGTG